CTACGTCACACTTTGGGTCTGTACAATCATCCTGGTCATGATTCCAACCAGCCAAACCAGCATCTCAGGTGAGCCTAAAAACGCCCTGATCTGCAGTGTTTGATGCCTGAAGGGACAATGCTGTATTTCCAGACAGGCTTGTTGTCAACACCTGCATTCAGCTGCAGTGGGTGTGGAGCTGCATGGGTGGAATGGTGGAATAGCTCAGTGACGTCAACCCTCTTTTATTGTTTCGTCTGTGTAGTAGTTACGCAAGGGAATATAATGAGAGGAAGGCTACTGGGCTTATGAAAGAACATGTGGCCATGTGCTGGTTTAAACTCTTGGTTTCCATATTAACCTCACCGCTGGGTTTCTGGATGGTTACCTGTGGTTGGAGGCCATCGCCAATGCGCCATAGCTAATACAGCTGCGTTAGGCTTAATATCACCCCCCCCCCCCCCCGATGGAAAGATTGACCGGGTCAGTTGGCTCCTAAGAGGGACAGGTCAACATGCCAGCAGCTGGTTCACATGACGCTCAGTCTTGATGTTTGCTATTACCTCTGGTATACCCCCTGTTCTCCGCGGTGGCAGCGCAGGTTCTAAAGAAGTAAGCACGCTGTGGCAACTCAACTACACGTTTTTCAGTGTTCAAATTCAATTCAATTCATTTTATTTTGTATAGCCTTAAATGGGAAATTATAAATTTGCCTCAGATGGCTTTAAACTGTACACAGGTAACGTCTTCTGTCCCAACACCCTCACATCAGCGCAGGGAAACCTCTCCCATTAAGACACTCAACCAGTCGAGTATGTGTATACCAAGGTGTCACTTCCAACAAACTGACCCTTTGTCACTTTCATTGCATACTCGTGCTGTTCTAGTCTACATCATACAGAGAATAAAGAAACCACCTCTGGGTTTGAGATGGACAGCTGCCAGACAACAGTTACTAAAAGATTCCTTTACATAATGTAACCAATTCAATATGAGTCAAAGTGGGTTTGCATTGGTGGAAAACTTTTATTCACGTGGTTTCACAGATTGTGGTAACAATGTGCTCTGGATATGCGCCCTTCTATTTTGGAAGGCATGTCACATGTGAAATGGTGTGTGAAGCCACTAAAATAGAAGTAGATGGTCATCAAAAACCACTGAACTGTCTACAATTACAATACTGCTGTGAGGAGGAAAACATACCAGGAAGAGCATGACCGACTCTCTGTGTATCAATGTGACAGTAATCATCGGTGGTGATTGATGCATCGCTGAAATAAGGGCTTAACGTTGGAAAGGACTTATTACGCCAAATCAAGTGAGAAATGTAGTTTCAACACTGACAGACGCTGTGGTCAGACTGAAACTGTGAAGCTCATTCTGAAAATGCTTTTTTCAGATGTTGGGGAGCAGCAGCTAGTGGAGCCATGGTACTTTTCATCTAGACCAGAGGTCTTCAACAGGGGGGGTCGCGAAATGTTTGGTTGATAAGACAATTCTTTTTTTTTGTCAACCAATTTGAACTGGAACAGACGTCTCTGCCTGCGTCATGTGACTCACAACCACTGCCGGCGCCGCTGGCTGCTCTTGTAGGGTACCTACAGGTATTTATACAGGTCCGTAAACGTGTCCCGGGGCATGTGACGTCTCCCTGGTGCGTTCAAGGTCACCAGTTAGTTTGTTAGGGCTGGTGAATGGGATTTAAGAGAAACGTGTGTAATGTATTTTGAGAGGCTTTCATTTTAAAATGGGACATCAGAATGTCCTGGTTATCCCCGAGTCCCTGAGGAATTATTATGCCATCATTGACCAGAAATGGACTTTTTTTTAGAGGACGTTGGCTCATGTATGACACTTTGAAGGGCCTTAACTTTGAAATCTGACTCTGCGATCCCGCGGGGATTCCTCCCTCTCTCGTCGGTACTTTTGCATCCGCTTCGCTTCAGAGCCGGACCCGGCGTGGACTCTGGAGCTGCCTTCGCCATTCTTTCAGAGCAGAGACCGGCCCTCCTCTGACTGACTGCATCAGTTCGGGGGCGACCCTCGAACATCTCGGTTTACTTGTAATTAAATGCTTTGAGTTTAAAAATGGTTAAATGCTGTTCTTTGAGTTTTCCAGTCAAAGCAGTGCCCACTTTTTAAGTTTAGAATGGAGTAAGTTGTAAGTTGAGAAAATGTAAAATAGTAAAGCAACCAGCTGCAAAGCTTCTGAGTCAGAAAATGTTCAGTTTCAATCTAAAAGAACACAATTCAAGCTCCTCCAATGTAATATTCGAAGTGTTGTGCACTTATGCACCTGAGTAGATGTGACTATCAAATGCAATATTTGAAGTACTGTTAACTTAAAGTATATCAGTAGGTCTGAATAATAACGTTATAAGTTAAGTAACCCTATGATAGCACTTGCTTAACTATTTGAAGTATTCTTAGGAAAACAAGAGGCAGGGAAACACAAAGTAAAACTGAACCAACTAAAGCCAGTGACTGTTCTTCAGATGTATCCCTCACCCCAGGCAGGAAGCAGAGGCCGTCCTCGGGGTCGGGGACAGAGGTCAAACAACACTAACAAGACATTTTAGGTTGTACAGGCCGATAGCAAAGTATTACTGACATCCTGAGCTGCACAAACAGGGAATCAAAAGTACTTTGAAATGGTTTGTCGTCATCTTTATTGAGGCAAATATAGTATTAAGTTGCCCCAACGCAGCATCTTGTTCAATTAACTTTGTAAGGCAGACAGGTTACTTTTTATACTTCATATTACTTTCAATGTTCACTCAAACTAATTTAAAGCGATTGATTTGCCCAAACAACTTCAACAGTAAACAACAAAATTCACAGACAAGAGGATTCAGATTACAATTATATTTCAAAAACTGACCTGGGCCTTTTGTCTATGAATGTAAAACAGACATGTCTGAATATAAGCTACAAATCAAAGGAAACACTGTATGAAAACACACCTGCTGTTGAATAACACAACTGAACAGTTTAAGGGTTCGTCGGGGTGAAGGAGCCAATAGCTAAACATTTGTGATTTTATGGATTCAATATTATATTCCAAATTCTGATTGTGAATTAGGGTTTTGATTTGAATTGACAGTCAATGTATGGCAAATTATTGTTATGGAAAAACTGCTTTACTGACCACAATGTGGCGAAAAAACGTAGAAAACCAGAAGAAGAAACAAAGCAAGAAGATATAAAAATGTCCAACGCACTGTGACCAACGAATAAAAAAAGACAACTGGAGCGTGAGTGAATTAAAGTTGTCCCTCGCTGGCCGGCGTGGGTGGGGGGGGGGGGTCCTGTCCTTTCTGCTGACTCGCTAATCCTGCTACCTACTAACAGCTGAGTCGCAGCAGGAGCCTCCAACCAGTTTAAGTGGATCGGCGGAGCAATAAGTGGTGAAGAGGTTGCTGCTTACACCCGTTTGTATTTGCTACAGATGTTTGAGGTGGATGGACACACCAGAGGTGGTATGTAACATGGAATTGAGCGTTGTTGGTTTCCTGTTCAACACTAAAGTACGTGGGTGGATCCTGTGCAGTGAGGAGCAGGAACAACACATTATTGGTACATTTGAGCAGATGGCAAAGAGCCGACTGGTGGGGGGTCGGCCCGTGATCCCAACTTCATCGTCTGCAGCTCTGGGTGGAATTATCAGCAGCTTACATTATTGGCATAGCAACAGGAAAGGGAATGCACGTGGATGGATGGGGACGATGCGGCTGGGACATTTGAGTAATGCTGTGCGGCGATAAGGACCGCCGGCGCTACTGAAACTACACATTCCCCGATGGCTGATACCAGTATGGGGCCTCCAGCCACGCAGGCTCACACGTGGGAGTAGTCAACTGGTCACACGGTCATGTGATCTAGTTATCGGGGAACCAAGTCATGTGGGCGGGACTAAGCTGCTTAAGGAGGTGACTGATTAGGCTTCCAAAGGAAGGCCTCCTTCTAGCTAATATCATCTTTATTCCCAGAGCGCAAGGTTTTAATTACTGTCATCATGAGCTGTTGTAGGATTATAATCTCCAACCCTTCACGGCCGTGGTGTCTTATCAGAGGGTTGACTCATTTGTTTTTAGGGTTAGGGAGGTTTCTATAAGGTATATTCTTAAAGTCATTTAGCTATCTACAGTGCACAGCATCCCACTGTTATCTCTACTGTGTGTTTCAGTGTGTGCGTGGCTGCATGTGTGAGTACAGAATGCGCTGCTCTCGTTTCTCATTGAAGGCCAAACCTCTCACGTGTGATTTCACTTGTACGTATGCAGTAATTCCATAAATCTACTCGTTGTCTTTGGCTTCCAAGAGCGTGATGATTGCAGCATTTCCCCATGCGTTGTCAATACACGCCATTTGGTTTATGACCAGTCAGCATATTTTCATGTTTGGATTCATGAAACACTCTGTGCTCTATACCATTTAAACTAAAGTCATTATGTTATACTGTAGATTACAAGATATATTTTTATTTCCAAGTTCTGCAGTTGTTGAGCCATTTCTAAAATGTGTGTATAATCAACTAACAATCCATTATGTTTTTGTTTTCTTAGAAGGATCCAGCAGCGTGTTTCTACAGTAATAACATGTGACAGAGGAGCTCGGTGTGTCCTAAGAAGCCTCTCAGCAGTCTGGGCCTATAGCAGCTTAACTAAGGGCTGGTCTGGGCTCTGAGCCAGCCCTAAACTATGAGCTTTATCTGAAATGAGCTGACTGTCTGCCCCCAGGACTGAAAGTAAAAGCTGGTTCCACAAAAGAGGAGCGTGATAACTGAAAGGCTCTGGTTCCCAGCCTACTTTTTTAAGACCCTAGGAACAACAAGTAACCAGCATCTATGGAGCGCAGCTCTCTATAGGGTCAAATGGGTCTTGGTATTGTGGAACTCTGGGACTATCAAGGAACCACTACATGCTCAGACACATTTCGTCCTATTGTCACTCAATGAGGGTGTTTTAACTTGTTTATACTGTAAAGGGGAATCGTGGTACAATACTTATATGGATGGTTTGAACGATTGCATGTCCTTTATTTCTTAACTACATTCATTTGTAGGTACATATAGATTCATGTAGTAGCAGTAATGCAGGTGTGTGGGGGAGCGACAGCAGATTTGAGAGCTTTTCGTTACTTAAACGTGTGCGTCGAACCTTGAAAGATGGCGGCCATGAAGCGTGTCTCCATTCTTCTAATCCGGCTTGGTGGACGCACCAAGTGGACTCTAGAGTGGAGGACGTTGACTTTTGTTGCTGAATAAACTAATGTTAGAGTCAGATGAGTAGTTGTCAAGTGGCCCCAGTGATACCGAGAGCGAAGAAAATGAACTACATCCGGTATTCACAGTAAAATAATGTATTGCGAGAACATCAGGAAGTGTCAAATACAAGCAGACGGTTCTCTGAAAAAAGTCCTGGAACAGGAAACAGAAAATCAGTCTGTCTGCTTCAACGTCCCACCGTCACTTTACAGAAACGAGCTGCAGTGTTTGAGTTACAGTCCAACACTAGAAGAACCAGGTCCTGACCAGCATAGCAGTCCAACACTAGAAGAACCAGGTCCTGACCAGCATAGCAGTCCAACACTAGAAGAACCAGGTCCTGACCAGCATAGCAGTCCAACACTAGAAGAACCAGGTCCTAACCAGCATAGCAGTCCAACACTAGAAGAACCAGGTCCTGACCAGCATAGCAGTCCAACACTAGAAGAACCAGGTCCTAACCAGCATAGCAGTCCAACACTAGAAGAACCAGGTCCTAACCAGCATAGCAGTCCAACACTAGAAGAACCAGGTCCTGACCAGCATAGCAGTCCAACACTAGAAGAACCAGGTCCTGACCAGCATAGCAGTCCAACACTAGAAGAACCAGGTCCTGACCAGCATAGCAGTCCAACACTAGAAGAACCAGGTCCTGACCAGCATGGCAGCAACTGCCTGGAGCTGGTTTGGTGAATTTCTGTCATCGTGGAGACATTGTGTCCCCACGGCACCGAGATGTTCACACATCGGTGTGTGTTTGAGATGCTGATGTGTTTAGTGGACGTATTCTGACATTAGTAGGCACCTGTCAGTCATCAACGCAAACTCTTTAAATAAAGACATTCATTGATGCCAAAGTTGCTCAATAATTTATTCATGTTGACTTTTTACTAAACTAAATGCACACAGCATAAAAAATGACTAATTTGAAATGACCAACCAACCAACTATTGAATGGAAGATGATATAAACGGTTTGGTGAGGAGTGACACGTGATCTAAACTAACAGCTGGATTCTGCAGCAGCACAGTGTCAGTAGACAGAGGACATACCGCCAGTTACACACCTAGAAATGAGCCACAGTCTTTGTTTGTCTCAGTATTCCTTAAGCAGGTTTCTGTGTAAACGTCCAACATCCATGTGGACATTGAAGTGGGCTCAGGCCAGCAGGTCTGTGGTTGGCACGGCAGACTACATAAGTTGTGGTAGAAAATATACTCCAACATTGGAGTGAGTGTTCATCGTGCATTGCACATATTTTCATCTGGTCCCCTTCACTGGAATTGTCTCTGCTGTGCTCCTTTCAGGATGGGGACATGGGAAGACACAAGAATCCCAAATGTCTGGCGTCGGCGGTTGACATCTTCTGGCTTCTCCTTCTGAGGTGTCAGAGCAAACCTTCATCGTCCCAGCATCATCTCTTCTTCCTGCTGTGTCGGAGCATCCTCTTCTTCCTCAGGATCATCTCGTGGAGGATCTCTAGGGCGGGTTGAAGGCCCTGCCCGTCCAGCGCCGAGCAGCCCTGTGTGCGGTGCAGCGTGGACGGGCTCAGCTCGTGGAGAGCCAGAAGCTTCTCCACCTGGAGACGCATTGAGGCAAAGACAAAGGTAAATGCCAGACAAACACAAAACAGTACATTTCAAACCTAAACCAAACCCCCGTTGCATTTGGATCCATCCGTTCGAATGAGTACATTAAAACATTATCGTCATTTGAATAAATAGAATATTAGTACATGTAGTTTTGGGTAAGAAACTGGATTGATAATAAATTGTTCCTGAAGGTTGAGGATTATATTTTGAGTAAAAGAAAGTTGCCCAACACAACTTTAACCTTTATCGATCAAAGATAGAACTACTAGAACTTTCTGGTTAACGTCTCATTGTGCAATAAACATTTGCAGACAAAGACCCAGTTGAGTCATCTGCAGGCGTTTGGGCCTGGGACACATTTGAAAAGGAAATGTAGCGACATTTTATTGACGAGTCAATAACGCATTTTATCTCTTGCTTTAGCGGCATACAACCTAGCACATTTTAAAGAGGGAGAAAGGGCTGCAATACTCCTGCCAACAACGTCTTAGCCTCCTATTTGGTGGACATCATCTCCACTGGTGTCATAACCATCAAGTAAATCCTCTAAACACAACACATACAATTGCATCTTCCTCTGAAAACTATTTCTGTATGTAGCTCACTTCTTTCTAAAAGGCGCTGGTCTTGTTTGGTCAACGGTTAAAAACTAGAAATGAGTACTTCCCATAAGGGAAGAGGACGGGTTACCTGTGCGGCCGACATGGCTCCATGCAGGTCCTGCTTGTTGGCCAGGACCAGGAGGGGCACTCCCTGGTTCTCCCCCGACCGGGCGATTCGATGGAGCTCCACCTTGGCCTCCTCCATGCGCTCTGCCTCGGCCGCATCCACCACGAACACCAGCCCGTCCATCCGCCGGGTGTACGACTTCCACAGAGGCCGCAGTTTGTCCTGGCCGCCCACGTCCCACACCTGGAACGCCGTGCTTTTGGAGTTCTCCGTGGGCACTTTGATCCGCTCCATGTTGAAGCCCTTGGTGGGGATAGTCTGGACAAACTCCCCCAGCTTGAGCCTGTAAAGGAGGGAGGTTTTCCCTGCCGAGTCCAGACCGATCACCACAACGTGAAGAGCCTGGAAGCTGGGGCCAATTTCTGTTAGCTGGTTCCCCATGTTATGATCTACCAGACCGGATGACTTCCTGTAACTGCCACTGTGTCCTTGTCTCACTCGCTTCCACACACTTGATGATGATGGGGACAGACGAGCCGGGTGACGGGGACAGACGAGCCGGGTGACGGGGACAGACGAGCCGGGTGACGGGGACAGACTGTGGCTGGAGTCACTGAGACAAGGAGAGGAAAGCACCACTTCATTACGCCTTTAATTAATATATTTGTATTAATCTGAAGCTTTCTATGTCAGTTATCAGTGTATTATTTAATACAATAATGAGAATAGGTGAGCAGCAATCCTCAGTCACAGCAGGAGAGCATCGCGTGACCTCCTTACTGCGCGGTGCGTGTGTCACCAGACTATTCCGCTTCTATCTGTCCGCAGAAAGTAGATCCCGAGCAGCGGAGGGATCCCGAGCAGCCGGTTCACGCTTTTGTTCTTGTAAACTAACTTAACGTTAGAAAGTTATTAACGTTCACACAATTGACCCAAACAACAGAAGCACCGGAACAAGCAAAACAGACTAGAAACTAACGTGTTAATAGAACCATATATATTTATATATTTCATAGGAAACAACTCGTTCCAGGTCGAAGTTCTATTTGACAGAAACAGTGTAACGTCGGGTGGAAGTAGAAACGGGAGATGTCTCACCTCTCGACTCCACTAACGACTTCACTGCTTTCCTCCGGTCGCCATGTTGCACTTTATCCCACTTTATCCGACGGGCGAGCGGTGTCCCTCCGTAGCGGTAAGACCGGACGGCTCCCACTGAGCCGGGCGGCCGCGTCGGTCCGACTGGCTGCTACAGGGGCGGGGCTTGCCGTGACGTCACACCACGGGGCGGAACCTGCTGTGACGTCGCACCAAGGGGCGGGGCAACGCCCCTCCGTGGTCCGTCTGCTCTCCCGTGGGTTATTATGCTTTTTTATAGCTTTACATCCATGGAAATACGATACTATTTTGTATAACATTCGATTTTACGATGATAAACCATTTGAATATGCTGTATTTAGGAGCACAATTTAAATAGCTGTTCGTGAATTTGGTTGGTTTGGAATACTGGCTGTTGCACCGTCCAGGGTAGGTACAGTTTGCTAGATGAACATGCTTAACTCTGGGCCTGTATCCGGTGGTTGTAACTGCACCGCCTAAATGAATGAATGTCAGCAGAGAAAGAACCACAAATGCAAACCACTGGTTTCCCAAATAAGATTTTTAAAGAGTATGATGCACGTTCGTCCAGACATTCTTTTTCTCCCTGAGCTTTTTGCTTCCACCTTTTAAAGGATTTACATTTTGGTGCTGGTTTATATTATTAGACCACCAATGCTATTTTCCTGCCGTGCATCCCCTGTAGGCTGCTCATGCACACCCGGGGGTGCCTGGAAGACCACACTTTGGCATCCCTGGACTAGAGTGACTGAGATCTTATTACAAGTGTTTACAATGAGTCTATTGACTCATGTAGTACGAGCAGCAACCGGGTTTCTGCTTAAAACAACAATACATTTGCATGCACAAGCAAATGGCCCTGGATACTTTCTTTTCCTGCTATTCACTCCACGCTGGTCAGGGAGTATGTTGCCTACAGCAAAGTAATAACACAAGACCACAATACTAAAGGTTCTCCAGGCACAGGGAGGACTGAGCGGCTCCAGGAACATCCTGAAATAAACAGCTGTGCTTTAAGAAATATTGGGATGAACTTCCAAAGCCATTCACCGAGAAAATGATCTTCAATCCAAAAAAGATGAACCACAAAATGAATCCAGACCCTTTGAGAAGAAAAACACTGTGCTCTTGCGGCCATTTAAGTGTACTGCACCATAACGAAATGAAAAGCATCCTGTGGGGGGATCCCGGGACCCTCGGGATCAAGCCACCACACACCGCTGGATACTCATCCAAAACTATATATGTAAAGAGAAACAGTCAAGTCAACGCTACAAAGCCAACTTATCCATTTGGAAAAACTCCAGAAACAACTTCAGAGAGCACGGAAAGAGTTACAAAATATATCATATGCAGATCTGTTCAAAAATTGTGCACACAATCAAAGCTAGAAGCTAACAAAGGAAGCGAGACGGCCAACAGCTGCACTATTCCACCCTTTATTACGTCAATATCCGTAACCTTCCGTTGGGAAGACAACAAATCACAAATGCTCAGCAAATGCTCAATGTTCAGCAGCCGTCTTGTGTGACTCACAACATCATCGTCATAATCAAACATCGTCCCTCAACAAGTTTTGGTTGTGAGTGGCTAAGGGAGCTGGCGCCGATCTCTCTCTCACTGTCTCCGTCCTTCTTTTCTTCCTGCCGTCTTTTATTTGTAACTTGCAGCTGCCTCTCTCGTCTGTCCGCGGAATGCAAAGACCCAACTGCTCGTCAAACATGGTAAGGTGGTGTCCCTGATAAAGAAGGTGTCCTCCCGGTGTAGGTCTCCTTAGCTGAGACACGCGGTGTCTCATAGGAGACAGCTCCACATGGTGCACCATCATCGTCTTTGGCAGGTTGAGTTTCTTCAGCTGCCTCAGGAAGAACAACCTCTGCTGAGCCTTCTTGGTGATGGAGCTGATGTTCAGCTCCCACTTGAGGTCCTGGGTGATGATGGAGCCCAGGAAACGGAAGGAATCCACAGTGGTGACTGGGGAGGATCAAAGATTTTGAACATGTTGTGTTTGCCGCCTCGGATGACGGACTGATGGGAGGACAAAGGTGTGGAAGAGGAGACAGGTCCAACAGGCGGGAATGAAGGCAAAGGATGACGTACAGGCTGCACCCAGGAGGATCTGAAGAAGATCGGCACTGCTGATGAGCGTCCATCGTGTCCAGATCGACTACCTATCCGTTGATGGGTCATTGTGTGTGCTTTGGTTTTAAATAATGGTGCAGCAATTGATGCTTTTATTCCTTTACAGGTCATTTAGCTGAGCTACATCCCCTTTACACTGTTAGTGTCGACTTCCCGATGGTGTTGGAGAAGGGAAATAAGCACTAAAGGGAATGCGTCTGTTAGGAGCTACTGACAGAAGAACGTTTGTGTCTGTTACTGGCAGGTTCACGAGGCCTGGGCCCGGTTATCAATACATGTTTAATATCCTGAGTTCCATTTTTTGTTTGAAAAAAATGTTTAGTTTTTAATAAACAGATTGTCAGTAAACAGGAAGCTCTTCATGAATCAGCTGTATGGATAAGAGAAATGATTCCCCTCGATGAGCGCTGGCCACACGAACGATGCTTCATCTGCCCCACCTTCCCAGAGAGAGCATTGTGTTGCCCGGAAACTTAACAAGGCAGGAAATAGGAGAGAGGCAAAGAGAAACTTAAACCTGCAGACACTTCCAACGCTGCAGCCGACATCTCCAGTCAGGTGAGGAAAGTCTCACTGCTGCTTCTTCACTCCTTAGACATCGCTGGGCTCAACTATACACCTTCTGCTTTCTACAGCAGAAGATTACCTGTTGAATCCCATTTATTTCTTCTCACTAAAATACATGAGATAGTGTTATGTGCATTTTAACTAATTACAGTATATTTAATATAGACACCAAAGACCTTTCGTTGCACATATAAGCAGCATACTTCTTACGTTTGAGGGCTGCGGCCATCATCACCATCGTAGTGTGTGTAAGCTGTGTGAGCCCTGTTCATACTACGATGACTATGTGCCAGTTTGTAGCATTACAGGAGATTTATAGGCAGAAGTGTTGCTGTAAGGTTACATTTTGCCGTTTAGTGTTCACCATTGAGCTACACTGCCAATTTGCTACGGTAGCTCAAGAGAAAAGAAATGGACAGTGGCTGTAAAGAAGGTATTTTGCGTTGGACGTTACCTGATGGGCCAGTAGTTCTTTGCCATGCTTGTGATGAAGTGGTCATGCTAAGCGTTACCTGCTACTCAACTTACCACGGTCTTAAAAACATTAAAAGATGTACAGATGTATCTTTTGCATTTTTGGTTGTTGAATTGTAATTGTAATTTTGGAGGGACTGTAGTAAGCTTTTACTTTGATTTCATCATCATAATTGTAAGTAATATTTTGGAATTGATGAACAATAATTTGTATGTGATTTATGTTTAATGTAAACCCCTCCACATGCAGGACACAACAATGCAATTTAATAACCGCCCCATTGACGGTGGCAGCAGCGAGACACTGAGAGGCGGTAACTCTGTAGGAGTTGGTAATCAGAGGAGCTGTTGGCACTTGTCACCAGTTAAAGCGTATCAGGTCCCCATAATGTACCAACAAGAACTGTAGACACAAAGCAGGGGACAAAGGGTAGTGAATCTGGTTTGATATCTTAACCAGACGTTGTAAGGAATTGGTGTCCGGTCTCTCCGAGGTGCGTCGTCAAAATGAATCCCAATAGAAGAATTCAAATCCACTTAATGTTTCTTCAAACCTCCTGAATTATAATTGCTCTGGAGCAGAGAGATACATTCTCATCATAGCATATTATTACTACCAGTGCTGTAGTGGTAAAATTAGAGGTGGGTAAACCCGGAGTTGCGAAGCAACGCAACACAAAGCGCTGCGACTCTGTAAGGCTGTCCTGGCTATATTGCATTATGTTATCAGTAAAAGTCATCAATGACAATGAATAAATGTGTTAGTAGTTTGTAGTTCATTAAATCTATGAAAACAGTGAAGAAAAGTATGTCAACACAACACAACAACACAATTGCAGATTAAGAACTATCTACATACGGAGTGTCCTATTTACAGTAGTGCCCAGAGGGCCTCCTTGTCCTCCACGTCAGGTCCTGCCTTGCACAGAGGAGCCATGACCCATGAGCCATGGCTCCTCTGTGCTCCTCTCTCTCTATTGGACCTGGTGTTTCTCCTCTCCCTGTGCTCTCTGCATCATTGCCTGTCCTCTCACTGCCTGAACAAATACGTTGAATTTAAGAGTTAACCAGTTAAGCAGCCTGTCAATTACACTGACAACATAAGTTAAAGGAACACTCATGTACTACCTACGTCATCATAAATAGCCTACAGCATGTTTTTTTTACATTGAGAACTGACTTGTTTTCTAATCTACGCGTCACCAGGCGTTTTTCTTTTGCCGTGCAGCGAACACAGAGCGCGCGAGTACTACCCCCCCCGTCGGTCGTTCCGCCCGCAACGACTACTACCCCCCCCCCTCCCCCGTCGGACCTTCTCGACCGGTCCGCGAAATATTGTCTGATATGAAACCGGTCCGTGAGGTAAAAAGGTTGGGGGCCACAGGGCTGATCCGTGTGTTTACACACCTCCTGGATCCTGATTGGTCGCTGCTGCAGCCGCAAGGCAGTGATTGGATGCTCACAGACCGTAATACAGCGCAGATGAACATGATTCAGACTACAGCGTTTATATGTTCAACAATAGGAAACGTAGTCTTAGCTGTTTTAAAATGACACCAAGTTTATTTCGGATTATTCCAACGGAAGAATACAAGGCGCAGGGAACTTTGAGGTGCGTAAACGCTATTTCCAAAATTCCAGAGGTGCGTAAACGACGTTTACGTGTGTTTACCCTCCACTACAGCCCTGATTACTACCAAAGGTGCACAGTTTTAAGAACGTGATCGGGTTTCTTCAGCTTTAAAAATGAGCATTTAGCAGCAAGTGTGTGTGTTACCGGCACCAGACCTCGTGTTGATCTGGACCGGCAGCACAGGTTACACAGACTACGTGTAGCCTGTGGATTAATAAGGAGAGAGGACACACGTTAGCGTCATGCTCAAGCCAGAGCTTGACATTGCAATCATAACATTTTATTTTCACAACATGGTGTGAACAAATTAAATGAATTAAAATGTACTCCACATCCAGTCCTACGAACATTTAGCAACTACGGTGTAACACTGGAGTTCACGGACAGAACTAACTAGTTAGCATTACAACATTCGTCACCAATTCCCTACAAAATACAGCTAACTACATTGGTCACACATCTACAGTCATGTTAAAACATTACAGAACATTTACACGCATTTACCTTCGATCTTAACCCAGGTTAAAGACATAAAACAACTTTAGCATACCTGTGGATTAATATGGAGAGAGGACACACGTCAGTGTTGATAGAGAACTTCCCCCAGACCTTCATTCGTCTGAGTCTGTGTGAAGGACAAATGGCAAGGCAAAGTCTGGGTAGGCCAGGATGGGTGGACGGCATAGCATGTCAACAAGGTGAGCCACCACCGCACTGTGTTGTTGTGTCCATTGGATAGGTACTTTAGATGAAAGCTGACCACTATTTGCGTCCCTTACCTTGGTCTTGATTCATTTAGCTGGGTTGGTTATGTGGTTAATGTCTCTAGGACTCCCAATTTCGCTGAAACAAAGGCCTGGGCTAGCCTAGAAAAGTCCTGTATGAAGGTTCTATAATAACCTAGAACCCTTAAGAGAGCCCTGACCTCTCCTAAGTTTTTTTGGCTCTCTATCCTTGAGGTGCTGAATGGCCTCAAGGTCTTGAGGGTCTATCTGGATGCCTTCCGTGGTCACTAAGCGCCCTCGATATCTGACCTGACTTTTAAAAAGCTCACATTTTTTGGGGGGTAACTTAATACAGTTTTCTCGAAGGCGGTCAAGGACCTGCCTCAGGTCGTCAACGTGGTCCTGAAAAGTCTTGGAGAATCAGAGCACGTCATCTAAATATGGAGAGCAGCACTCATCCCTTAGACCATCAAGAACTCCCTCCATGCATCTTTGAAATGCTGCTGGAGCATTGGTCAGGCCAAATGGGAGTCGAATCCACCCATAGAGACCCCATGGCGTGCGAAAGGCAGTCAGGTGTTTGGAACTCTCATCGACAAAACCCTGGTGGTAAGCACTTCCTTGATCGAGTATGGAGAACCATGAGTATCCCCCGAGATTATCCAGCAGATTTTGGATACGTGGAAGACGGTCAGGGACAGACGGTCAGGGACAGTTTTCCGGTTTCAAGCCTCGAAAGTCAACACACAGGCGTAGACTCTTTTTTCTGACACAGACCACTGGAGATGAGTAGGGTGAGGTGGATTTCCTGATCCACCCGTGGTCAAGCAGGTTCTGGACATATTCCTTTACCTCTTTGTACAAGGGCTTGGGAACTGAATTGTAGGACGTTTGGACTGGTGTTTTGTCCTTTAGGAGGATTTGCAGCTGCAAGTTTGGGATGCAACCAATGTCAGAACCACCCCTGCAAATACATCGGACTCTTCGTACAACATGTCTCTGACTATCTTTTGTTCTTCCTCCTTCAGGTGTGACACGTCAACAGGGGGGTGCCAGCTCTGCTTTGACATGCCTTTCATCTCATGTCTATCACTTGTTTCTCTCTGCTGATTTGTGTTTAGCTGAGCGGAGTATGCGTTCGCAGTGGGATGGGATAGTGGCTCTGACCCACCTGGAAAACAGTTAATTGGTTTTACTTCCATCGCTTCCTCCAACGTGCCCAGAACCATTCTCTTTGTGAGATAGATATCATGCTTAGTGGGGTTCTGAATAGAAATGTTGACTATTTTTGTGTACCCACTTCTCTACTAAAGCCGGAAACAGCTCTAACCCTCCAGGACAGTTACTCACTAGATTGGGTTGAAACAGCATTGTCCCGCCCCTTGGCCACTCTCTAACTCTACACCTCACCTCACAAATCTCCTCAGCAGGAATTGTTACTCCTCTCCTTCCTGTCCTCACACTACACTCAAGCTCGGAAGCAGTCTCCTCAGAGGTCGAAAGCTGGAGACTAGCAACCAGTCACTGACACTTAAAGCTTCTTTAAGTAAAGCAGAAATATCAGCCTCCCCTCTTTGTTCCTCGTCTGTTTTGATCATCTCAGCTATAACGTTACTGCCTAACAGAGGAGAGTTAAGACCATTCTTGCTGATCAATACTGGCACTTGTATAGTGACGTGTCCATCATTTTGACTACAGACCTGGAGTTCAACATCTGCCCATCCATCAAAAGGAACATCTGTACCATTAGCTGACAAAATCTCCAAGGGCTGGTCGAAAAGGAGGGATTGGAGTGGCTGGATTTGGACGTTGGGAAGTGTCCATGCGCTCCCTACCACAGTCATTTGTAGAGGAACTCCGTTGATAGCACATGAAACCATGCATCGCTTTCCTATGAGCCGTGCTATACACTTCGTTGGTGGTGGTTGATGCTGTGTGTCTGCTTTTACAGACGTGACTGGTGTTGAGCCCTCTTCAGCTGTCATGATCACTGGCTGCCCCGCTCCAGTGACCTCAGCCCGTTTCCCGACATCTTTTTTTTCAGACAGCCCGATGTCCTGCTTGACCACAAACGAAGCAGTGAGGGCAGCTAATTTTTCCCTGTTGTACACAGTCATTGCATCGGCCCCTAGTCTCTCTTGTTGGTGCCTGAGGTCGGACTGCTGATGGGCAGGTGTCCTTTGGTGTCGCACTGTCAGTAGGTTTACGCATCTGGGCCAGATGTTTGGTCAGTGAGGACACTTGTGCCGTCAGTTCTGTAACGAGCCCCTAATTGTTACCGGCACCAGACCTCGTGGTGATCTGGACCGGCACCAAAGGTTACAAGGGCTAGGAAGCACTGTGTAGCCTGTGGATTAATATGGAGAGAGGGCACACGTTAGCGTCATGCTCAAGCCACAGCTAGTTTTATTCTGAGCTGCGCATGAGCGGAGCCTGTAGCACCACAGCGCCCTCTACTGACGTGATCGTGTAATATCTCAATATAACGTCTGATATTGAGTTGGGTTTAATAACACTAACTTGTAGCATTTCCAACCTACAACATGTGTATATTTAGTGTTAATGCTAATGCTATCCTAATGTTGCTCTCTGTCTGCTGGAATAATAGGCATGAGTTTGCAACATTAGCCTCATCAACTGCACTGGTGCAACATGCCAGTATTGTTTCTATTGCTTCTCAAAGCACTGCATGTTGTCCTACTACAATACACTCATTAAGCATTAAAGAGATCAGATGTCAGTTCACGAGACATGCAGAGGACACACAGAGAGAAAGAGATTCCTTGCTTTATAATTAGATGAATCTTTGTGACCTAATCCTGACACGTTTAACACGGTCATATCATTTCTTTGTGAGCATTGAGCTGTTGCTGCCCCTCTGCTGCCCCTCTGGACGTCAGGATGTCGGCGATGCACTGGGAGGCCAGGCGGCGCCAGAGCGCTCTGGACCGCAGGACGGCCAGAGACAGACAGCAGGTAAGGAACTGAAATATAATTTAAGGGGTTGCCACTTATAAGTGTTGTGGTGGAATGTAACTTTAAAGGATTATTTAAGTGTGTCCATCATCCTGTAGTTTAGGAACCGTTGGATGTTTTCCTTTGTCGGAGTTTAGGTTAAAAAACTTCAAATCTTACTGTTTGAACTTCTGCTGCTGCTGCTCCAGCTGGTAAAGTATACCGGTCTGGTAAAGTATACCGGTCTGGTATACTTTACCAGACCGGTTACTTTACCAGACCGGTATACTTTACCAGACTGGTATACTTTACAATTGAGCAACAAGAGGGCTGAGTAGAAGCTGAGAAGGGACACGTGACACGCCAGCATGAGGTCATACCTGTCTACTGTACCTGATAACCTGATTCACCGCAGGGATTCACATAGAAATAAAGGTTACACTGTTTTGTTCTTTTTTTTTAAGACCTGAGTGATTTATTAGGTCATTTACCATGTATTTGTTAAACGATATTTAAAGATTTGGTAAAATGTTACTCATGGAGACTTGGGAGAAAAATACTGAAATTATGGAATCTCCTTTTTAATAGAATAGTATTTCTAAAATGACTGATTCACTAAATCTTACCTTTTCCAAATATATATTTCTCCAATAGAGGAATTTAGGGAAGATTATATATACACCTATGCAATGGGACACTGCTGTTTCTGGGTCAACGGCCAACCAGCTCAGATGCTCTGATTGGTGTGTTCGTCTTAGGATGGGAGACGTCTTTATGGGCTTCAGCACCAATCAACACAAAGGATTTTCACTACAAGCAGCATTCTAACGTTTTATTTGCTAAAAATAAACACTTCTCACAACACCATTTAAAAATGATGTTCGATTAGATATCTTGTTTTAAACAGAAAATGAGACATTTAAGGTTGTAATTTGGCGGGATTGGTTTTTCCTGTGTAAAGTGTTTTTGGGGATTGGTCTGTTTCTGAGATGATAGGAACGTAACAAGATAGTCATAGTTATCAAACAAATATCCATTCTAGAACTCCACAACACAACTGGATGCTAACCGCTAAACAATGATATAAAGTGTGATAATGTTCAACAGGGATAATACGCTATGGAGTTGCAATCCTTTAGGGTGTCAAACACCAAATGCAACATTCTTCACTTATTTTTTTAATTCATATCATATTTTGTACAGTTCCTGAATGTCACCATTTGATGCACTGCACCAGATTATAGCTTCAGCTAATCTGACCTTTGCCAGGTACTGACAAGCATTACACAACAGAACAGGATGAAATACAGGAACACAGCAGACAGAGAAGTAAAGTAAGTAATACAGACCATAATAATAAATGTGCTCAATGACTTCAGTGCTGAGCAGCCTGTAACTCTTTTTGTGCTCACGTCCGGCAGCGTGTTCTACTGATCTGTGGCTTTTAAAGAAAAGATGGAATGGCAAATGGCAATGGTCCAGTCTCTGGAGGCTCTAATACAGCGATCATCAACTGGCGGCCCGCGGGCCGAATGCGGCTCTTATCAGTAATCACCACCATTTATGACTCGATTTAGGCTACACTCCAAAATGAGGACAGACTCGTTACACTGTTTAGCATTTATTGTTTCACACCGGGGTTTTTTAACATAACTTTTCCTCATGCATTTACTTAACATTTGGTTTTTATTTCAAAGTCTCAACAACATGCTTGGAACTAGCAGACTCCTCAGGACTGAAAAGGGAGGAAAACCCATCTGGAACAAGTTAAAATAGCACGGTAAATAAATAGCCTGGAACCAGAACAGGTCTCAAATAAAACGTTAAGTGGGCTGTAGCGAAATCACATCACAAGGCTGAATTGGACTACCACTCACACTACTTAATCAATGGCTGAAGTTACATTTCCCCTCTGACACCAACTTTTTCACATGAGGCTGTCAGACGCAAACAGTCCTCCAAAGACTGGGTCGACAGGCGGTTCCTCTCGTGCGTTTTAATCGAGTTCATCTTGGAGAACGTAGCCTCACAGGTGTAGGTTGAACCGCACATGGTGAGCACATACATAGCCAGCGTCTTCAATGTGCCACAGACCTCGGGACAAGATACCCAAAAAGCGCTCAGGCTTTCAGCACCACGGAGAGCAGCCTTCATGTCGCCTGCGGCCAGCTCGCTCTGGCTGCCTCGTCCTACTGCCGCACTTTCACCGCGTTAGTGGAGAATTGTGACGTTGTGGAGTAACAGGTCATCATGAGAAGCCTGGGATTCCAATCCAATCCGTTTTATTCATAAAGCACAGTTTAAATGAACACAGAGGTTTCCAAACTGCTGTACAATAAAATAAACACAATAACACATTGACTGTCCTCCCCAGATAAAATATCAGTGCACATAAAATCAACAACCTACGTAGTGTTAAAAGCCAAAGAAAGGAGGTGCGTTTTAAGAAGCTGTGGAGCTGCAACAGAAAATGCTCGGTCCCCTCTGAGCTTCAGCCTTGTTTTTGTAACCCTCAGGAGCAGCTGGTCAGCTGACCTGGGAGCTTGGAACAGGTGGTGCTGCGCGCTTGAAGTTCCTCTGATGTGGTTAATAATTTCCATTGATCACCTATTTGAGCTCCACACACAACACGCTTTGGTGGATGATACAATGGAGTGCGTTAGTTTTAGGAGGGACAGTCTTTATTCTGCTCACCGGACCCTTATTTTTTCTAATCATGGCAGGTGCACCATCTGTCACTGTCAGGTTGATTTCATCCACAGACAATCCATGGCTTTAAAAAATCAGCTCTTCTCGGAAATCTTTGCCATCAAAGTATCTGACAAAAACGTACAACTGTGAGATATCCGTGTTGTCAGTGGACTCATCAGTAGCCAGCGGAATATATTTGGCTTCCTTGACCCCGTCAATGACAGCTCGCTGGACTCGCTCCTCCAAAACGTGAACACAACGTGCATTAGTTGAGGCAGATAGAGGTACTTGTTTGACAGATGCAATAACTGTCCATTGATTTGTCGGGGACAAGTTCCTCCAGAACGGTGATCATGCAATCCTTTAAAACCTAACTTTCTGTGAAAGGCCGGTTATGTCTGCAAAGGGATGCACACGTTACTCTGACGCGCCTCTGACTGCTCAGGATATGAAATCTTGAAATCTGAATGTTTAGTGTCGTGGTGACGGCGCAGATTGTATTCTTTGGCAACAGCAACAGTTTTGTTGCAAATTAGGCAAACTGGTGAGGCATTTCGGAAGGTTGGCAGGATAAATGCGTACTTCTGAGTCCAGTCATCATTGAAGGACCTGTTTCCAATCAATCAACTTTGGGTTTCATATCCTTTGAGAGTCGTCTTACCTCTGTTAAGAGACCCTTTCCTGTCACTTCCTCGCTGTTTGTTTTTCAAGTGCTCTATAAGTAAAGTTGACTCAATTGAGTTGAGGCAAAATATCTATCACCCCTGGTGGTTGTCTGTGATATAGGTGAGAGGAGCCGGACTCATAAAGGCCGTAAAAGTATTAACAATAAACATCAATCATAATGCTATACCAAAATTTGATTTGTATTTAAGGGTCCAGCCCCCCAGTAAGTAAGTGAGTACGTAAGTAAAATTTATTTGTACAGCGCTTTTCACAGACAAGGTCACAAAGTGCTTTACAATGCGAATAGACATTTAAACAGTCAATATAAAATCAGGATACAAATTATCAAAAGAGTAAAAGACGTAGGCTACCCAAACGCTAGCATGAACAAATGAGTCTTCCCTTAAAACAGTCCACATTCTCTGCAAACCTAATCCAGAGTCTGGGTGCCATAGCCTCAAAGGCTCTGTCCCCACACGTCTTCAGACGCGTGCGTGGCATGGATGACAGATTTTGATTGACAGACCTGAGAGATCGGGATGGAGTATGTAAGTGAATTATGTTGTCAAGATAGTCAGGGGCCTGACCATGTAGAGCCCGATAGGTCATGGTGAGAATTTTGAACTGGATCCTGTAGGTTACAGGAAGCCAGGGAAGAGAGCGAGGCAGAGGGGTGATATGGTTGTGCCTGTTTGATTTAGTAAGAAGCTAAGCAGCCGCGTTTTGAATGGATTGCAGGCGGTGAAGGACAGATTTATTGAGTGAGGAGAAAAGTGAATTACAATAATCAATACGGGAGGAAATGAAGGCATGAATGAGCATCTCTAGCTCTGGCTGAGAGACCACAGCCTTTAATTTGCCCAGGAGACTGTCTGGTAAAATTCTGTCACTCTGACAAATATAGTTGATGACCTCTGCTCTAATAGAACTTACTGAGAAACTGTACACAAAGTCACATTGTAGAGGAGGTGCTAAACCTTTCACACATGTGTACAGTATTGGAAGCTCAGTAAACTGTATTCCTCCAATATCCTACAGTCAAGACATTCCAATGGTGTTTTCACAATTTTTTTCAGTATATAATATAAGATATTTAAGATCAGTATCTATTTCAATCCTTTCAACTTTATTGAGGATATCAGCGTCAGGAGGTTGTGTCATGGTTTTGGAAGAAAATGTACAATATGTTTTGTCGTGTTGACATTTAGACTTAGACATGATTGATTGAGCCAGTGTATGATCCTTTGCAACGCATTTGATAGCTTGGTAGCTGCTAACCCGGCAGTTGCATGCATTTAAAGTTTTACACATTCTGTCTTTAAAGTAGAGAAGATTTCATGTGTTTCAAGTTTCATTTTGCCTCTTACTCTATAGCTGCTGCAGAGGGGTTCTGAGACCAGCTGCAATGCAACAGAACCAAACCCAACACAAGAGCAAACAGGTATCACTATACTTATCATGGGTATCTTCTACTTTCTCCTTTGACACTTGCTATGTTTGAAGATAAGGTCTTCATCATCCTTTTTTTTAACCACAGCAAAACCATTGTGTCTTTAATAATGGGTTTGCTTTCATGTACTTTGAGGAGGATGAGTTCCTGGAACTACTTAATGTAGAGTTGGTCATTTGATCAATTGTTTATATGAAATTATTGGTTAGTGTTGCTTTGACATAAATCCTAAATTCTAAGCATGCGTTGAGTGATTGATGTGTTGGTTCCAGTTGGTGGCCAGTGTCCCCACTGTAAGGGCAACCTGAAGACACCTGTCCGTAGCAGCGCCAAGATCCCCGACAGATACTCAGTAAGTTCAATATGATTTGTGTGATTTTGTACAGCCTAAAAATCACAAATTAGCATCAGGGGGCTTTACAGTCTCTACATATGCAACTGTGCCTCAACCCTCACATTGAGGACAGAGCCGCTCGGTGTGTCCAACGAAGTCCCCCAGCTGTCTGGGCCTATAGCAGCTTATCTAAGGGCTGGTCCAGGCTGACTTGAGCCAGCCCAAACTAAGAGTTATCAAAGAGGAAAGTTTAAAGCTTTAGCTTAAATGAGCTGACTGTGTAAGTGGAAGCTGGTTCCACAAAAGAGGAGCTCTCTAGTAGGGCAATACAGTGTTATAAGATAAGACGGTGCATCACCAGCAAGTGGTGAGGAGACATTCTTGACACGGAGCCTGTGCAGAGAAGCTAAAACAGGAGTAATATGATCCCTTTTCTTAGTTCTTGTTAATAATTTGACGGGAGAGTTAGAAAACATACAGTTGAGATGAAAAACAAACTAGTAGGCTGTGGTCAAATGTGTGAGCTGGCTGGTCTCATCTGTCTTCATCGAAAGATACAGCAATGAAAGTTTATGCAGTTGTTTCTTATAACATTGCCTTGAGGAAGCATATGTAATTTAAATAAAATAGGTCCAAGCACAGAACCTTGTGGAACTCCGTGACCAACGTTTGTAGTCATTGACATTGAGGTTTACAAAAAAAACTGTGATTGATCCAATAAATAAGACTTGTACCTTCAGTGTCTTAAACCCTCTCTTCATCCTATCTCCATTTTGTCAAAGCACACTCACTTGTTTTTAGAAACATAACAGGGTCAATTCCATTGTTTGTCCTACAGTCGTTACAGTACAACCAGCAGTGGTGAAGAAGATGAACACCCCAGTTCCATGACAGCGTCACAGAATTACTGGACCATTTGGATATGGCAGAACTGCATCATTGTGTGATTATCAAATAAAATAAATAATTAGGTGTTTAAATATAATGTGTTTTCCTCTTTATTGTGGGAAAACAAATCCCTTGAATCCTGTTTGCAATTGCTCCAACCGTTTGGTATTTTCCTGACTCTTTTGTTGTCGATGTGATGATACCTAGTGTACTTGCAGAAACAGACCAAGTTGACCTGCATTGAATGAGAGGGTTACAAAAAGCTAAAGAGGAGCAATATATATTTAACAATACAGAAGTTAAATGCACACACACACACACGCACACGCACACGCACACACGCACACACACACACACACACACGCTAGGCTAGGCTAGAACGAAAACATATAGTAGACACAGCTAATGATCAATGCAAACACACGTTTTTTAGCTTTGAAATAAAGGTTGACATAAAATAACGATTTCTTCAAAACGTATCCCTCCCCTTTTTGCAGGTTTGGGTAAATGTAACCGCCAGTAGGTACGGAGGGGCGGTTATCGTCCCGTAGGGATATTAATTAACCCACCACGGACCCACAGATGACCAGTGTAAACAGACCAAAGCAAAAATATTCCCGCAGAGTACAATATTTATTTGAGTTTCTTAAAATATCAAAAAGGTAACTATTCCCGTCAGCTCTGGGAATATCGTCAAAGAAAAACGAAAGGTTTTAATAAACAAATTCGATTCTATTGGGGCCGTAGGCTTCAGGATTTCCTCACGGGCTACATAAGCATTAAGCTGCGTGGGCGATAAGGGTCAAAAACATTTCTAATAGAACTGTATTATCATGAAGGAACACTGGCAGCTCACATCAGGTGAGGGTTTGTCAGCTCCATGGGCAATTCCTGATATTGAGACACACACACACTCATGTAAAATAATCAAACTGTTGAAATGTGATGTTCCACTGTTACTCGTATCACTGTATCAGACACAAGACGGAACTAAACCTTTTACTGTATGATTCATTAAGCTGTATTACAGTCGCCATATCAAAACACTGATTCTAATAATAATTAAACCCCAATTTAGACCATACATCCCTTCTAAACCAAGTAGTATTTTAAGACATTGTTTTGTTTGTATTAAAATCAGTTTCAGTTTTGTCTTGGCTGACAAAGTTTCCTTCCAGCAGGTAAGATTGATGCTGAAGGCTAATGCTGTTCTTGTTGTTAACAAATCCATCATAATATATCTCTGTAGTAGAAATGCATTGGACATAAAGGAGTGTTTGTTTTGTGCAGTACCTCATCTCGAGGAACCTGAGGAAATGGCATCTTGGCATTGGGGAAGTGCACCAAGCTGCCATACAATTTACACTGGGAACCAGTCACCACACCTCGTCCAACAGGTCACCTCAATCCACTCACCTCCGGGCAGCAGTGCCCTTCAGCCAAACGGAATTAGGAAATGAATAAGGGACTGCTCTATGCTGATGCACACTTTTAGTGGCAGACCAGAACTATAGTTAACTTTTTCTAAAAGTCTCATTAGTATTATGTTAATTATCATTAACAGAGTCAGGTCGTTGCCTGGAAGAAAAAGAAGGCCATTCTTGTCGAGGTTAATCTTCAGGTGGTGTGCAGCCATCTAAGAGATGTCAGTCAAACAGGCAGAGATTTGTGCTGCCAACTGTGTCTCGGATTGGGGAAAAGACCAGATTAGCTGGGTGTGATCAGCATAGCTGTGGTAGAAGACGCCATATGAGTGGATGACGGTTGCTATACAGAGAGAAGAAGAGGGGACCCAGGACAGAGCCTTGGGGGACCCCAGTGGTGAGACGACAAGGTTCAGGCACAGATCCCAGTGTGGTCGTTGAGGTAGAGGAGGAAGAGGGCAGAGTTCCTGTTCCTGAAGGGAGGAAATAAGGATCTGGTGGTTCACTGTGTGAAATCAGCAGAACGGTCGATAAGGATGAACACAGAGGAGAGAGAGGCTGCTTTGGCAGTGTGGAGTTGCTCAGAAACAACAAGGAGGGCAGTCTCTGTTGAGTGGCCTGCCTTGAAACCTGACTGGTAAGGGTCAATTGTTATGTTGGAGATAGGAGGGGAGATGGTTAAAGATCGCCCGCTCCAGAGTTTTGTAAAGAAAGGGCAGAAGAGAGACAGGCCTCTATTTTTTTTACTTCAGACGGGTTGAGGCTGGGTTTCTTCAGGAGAGGGTTCACGCTTGCCTCTTTCAGACAGTTAGTGAAGCAGCCAGTTGCCAGGGAGGTGTTGATAAGATGGGAGAGAAGAGGAAGAACGTCAGGAGCAAGAAACTGGAAAATGTGAGACGGGATGGGATCAAGGGGGCAGGTGTTTGGACGGGCGGAGGTTACCAAGGGGAGAACTTGGGCGGTAGACAAGGGGAGGAAGAGGAAAGTAAAGGTGATGAAGATGAAGTGAAAGGAAATGTGGAAAGTGGAACTTGAGAGATTACGTGGGATCAAGGACATATTGAAGTCCTCAAGATCATTTAAAAAAATGTTTTTTTTAAAAACGAAACTGCAGGGTATGCTCCCGGTATCGATGGCCTCTCGGACGGTCTCCAGCTCATTGGGTATCAGCACCGGTGTGATTTCTCTAGACCAGGATAAAGCATTCTGAGGCGATCCTCTGAAGGGTCATGGGGAAGTTTGGCTTCAGCACTGGCTTTGTGGCCAGTGAGGTAAAATAAAATAAATAGTCAAAACCCCTCAATTGTGTAATGACTTCAATGGGAGACAGATTGATTTGTCCTAACCATGTTTATAAAGTGTGACACAGAAAAAAAGCTCAAACTATTCCCCTTTTCTCCTCCTTAAATACTTCACTTTTATTCATTTTCCAATATGAAAATATTTCCCCTGATTGTCCCTCATGGAGCAGACAAATCATTTCATGTTCCTTGAAATTATGCCAGGAATTACATATGAGATGTTTGGCCATTTAAAAGATCATTTTTCCCTTTGAGCAAGTCTCATTGAGTCATATGACAGTTTAACGGGTTAATACTTATTACTTACGCTAGTATTCTCATATACTAATGAGAAGGACAACACAGCCAGAAGTCAGTGACGCTCGATGCCTGTGCGTGTCCCTTTCATCAACAACACGGATTGTCCGTGTGCTTCCCAGCTGATCAAACGCTGGATAAATCGGACCAGAGGTTGCATTTGTGCTTGGATAGCTACTTTAGTAAGCAAGCATGCCCAGGTAATGCCCATGTTGGTGGCATACGTTGTGCAAGATGAGTGATGTAGTTGAGAGAAAAGTTTCACACAAAAACTATAATTTACTACGACAAATTGCAACTTAACTGACTCGTTTAATTCTTTTAATTTGACAAACATACAATGGGTGAGTCAGTCACAATTCAAACAGGATCACAACTTTATTTGTCACTCATCGTTGATTTCATTATACATCTTTTTTCCAACATTAGGTCCCATGTGAAACTCCAGAAGGGCCTCGAGCGCCTGATGCCGTTTAAAGGGAGTGTGGTGAGACTCAGTTGCAGGATGCTCTCTGGGATACATACTGAGAACATTAAGGAACCCACGGTAAGAGGTTCCCCAGGAGCTGTGGATATATAGCAGGAGAACAATTCATAGGGACACCTACAGAAAAAACTGTGTAACCACCTCATAATATTTTCAATGTTGCATTTGAAATACTCGTCAACATGACATATTTAGATGAGGATACTTCATCATCACTTTGGTGGCTTCACATTGGGCAGGAAAGAGAATGAGCTTATTTCCCACAGTGTCAAACTATTGTGTGGAGATTTATTGTAAAGTGTGTCTATTACTTACATGTGGTGTTTCATTAAGTCATATCAACCCCAAATCTTTCAAATCCACTCACTTTTTTTACAAACAAAAACATGGTCACACGTACAACGGTGGAAACTCAACCCTCACAGAACAGGCCTAAAGATACAGGATAATTACCAAGCATTCAAAGTAAAAGCACTGTGGACAATCTGAAACTAAAGGAGCCAACTGGTAACCGTTGCTTCACACTAGGACGCTTCTATTTATATTCATACATCGCTTCATTCCCTCACTGCTAACTGCACATACGCTCATGTGCGCTAACCAAAAGATTTACACATCCATGTGTGTAGAGTTACAAGAAAACAGATGGCAAGATGGTACAAACTCATCATGTCCCATTTGGATTTGAATCCGCCCTGTCCAACTCGGCCAAATACCGTTTGTCCCTCTGGCTGAAAGAAGATAAATAAGGTGAACCAAATGTGAGGGACTTCTTCATTTTTAACATTTTAACCCTCAAAGAAGTTTATTGGATCATCAGGGAACACACGGGGGCTTTTTAGTATTAGGAATGATGCTGTTTAATTGAACCTAAATGAGTGTGGATAAGACCTCTGTATCCAGCACAAGGATCATGACCTACATGAACGCAGTCATGTGACTCCAACAGAAGCCGCGTTCTTCACATTCACATTGAAGGTACATTTCATTTTATATCACAAGCCAGATATATGCCACAGGAAAGGGGATTTCCAATTACATCTCTGGCAAAAATAGGTTGGCAAAGTGCAAAAATACACATTCCAAAGGTTTTTTCTTCTTTAAATTAGGCCTTAAGCTTGGAACCCGTATCTCTCAGTCTGGACCCAACGGAACCCAATTGGTTGATCTGGACCCAAGATAAGAACTGAAGATTGCCTTGTCCGACTAATGCAACGTATAACTGTGTCCCACACATGAACTCAACAAGAAGATATTTTCATACTTATATTACAGTTTAATTGAACCAAAGCCGCCCGGGCTAATCCCCTAGAGTTCTGCTTGGACCCTCTCTTTTAGTTACAGGAAAACCTGCAATCTTCATTTACAACGTAAACATGACTTGATATGGAAGTTTTCTTTCCAGAGAAAGCGGGGACGAGCTCTCCGGGCGTAGCTCTATCCTATGGAATGTGTAGTGACCCTTTAAGGGATGAACCCACCCAAGGAATAGAACACACACACACACACACACACACACACACACACACACACACACACACACACACACACACCACACACACACACACACACACACACACACACACACACACACACACACACACACACACACACACACACACACACACACACACACACAGGTATCAGGACGTATGTCAGTGCTTTGAGCTGTTGGCTGGAACTTGAATGTGTTTTTGAACAGATGGGTGACGTCTGTATACTCAATATTATAGTGCTGCTTTGTATTTGTACCCCAGCCTAAAGGGCAAAGCGGAACGTGCTATGTGTAGCATTTCAACCATGATCAATTTGTCCTCTGCCAGCCCCTGAGCTCCATCTTACCTCGACTGTAAAGTACTGTTACAGTACTGTAAAGTACTGTAACAGTACTACAGATGGTGGCAGTGGAACTGTCTTGTTGTTGAAGGTACAGCTTCACGTTTGTCGTTACTGGTGGCTCAATGGCTCGTAATACTTACTACTTACTACTCCTTAATAGAGCAGCACTCTTTGCAGGCTGCAGTGGGACTCAATTTTAGCAAATGCTAAATGCTACACATAGCTCTTTTAGGCATAGCTCCTAAAACTCTTTGCATACAGCTGCCGTGTCTCTGTGTCTGTCCATGTTCTTGCCTCTGTCTCGTCAGTAGCGTGTTGAGTACCAGTCATTGTCAGTCATCTGAACAAGCTCGTTGACAACGTCCAGCAGGTTGTAGTTGTATTTCTTCAGCAGTCGCTGGTTCAGCAGCCGGTCTCCAAATCCCATTTCCACCAGCACGGCCATCATTGTGCCCTGTGTGGATGCCTCCACTGGAGGCTGCATAGAAACAAGGAACATATGAAGTGAGCGCGGTAACAGTGGACCTGGCAGCGGCAGCTCCAGCTTTGGGCTCCTCCACCCGTAGAAGCAGTGGGGCGGTCGGAATCAACACAAAACCTCAAAAACCACGTTTTCAAGTTCAAGGGGACGTGATACATGCAAATGCCAATCCTACTATTCTAATTGGTGGACAAATGTTTCACTTTTTTTATTCAGATTTAATATGCACTTACTACGAGTTTGCCTAGAAGGATATTTAAGAGATTGCAAAACCACCCCGTTAAGAGAAATTAAATATATTGAATGGTAACCCCTGTATCCATCATATCACCATTGTTTTGCCCCTACACATCACTAGATGGTGAATATTAAAAGAAGAAAGGTGATCCAAAGTGCAGCATCAGCCCATCCCGTAGTCCACGTTATCAGAGCTTAGGCTAACGTTAGCAGCTCTTTCTGTTCTACGGGCCTCCAGCAAACCCCAGTCAATCATTTTATGTAATGCTAAATAATGTTGTTAGTGTACACTTAAACTAACGTTAGCCAAACGTCTCAGAAGTAGTCAAATGTTGCATGTACTTTGATTGGGCCCCCAAAAGAACCAGATTCAAGCATCCGTGGTTTCAGTACTTGACGCAGCGATACGAGGCGTGATCCATGTGGCTGAATGCAGACCACGTGCTGACCTGTGAGGGACCTTGTCCAGTGAACAGAGCTTTGTAGGCAGACGCAGCTACTGACAGAGCTCCTTTCACCAGGCCGCCGGTGAGGCCTGGGTGCCTGAGGAGCGACAGTAAAGAGGTTACGTTCGTAGCACCACTGCTGTGGGAAAGACTTGGCTCCTCCACTTCAGCAGTTCTACACAAATGATAAACTATTCAATTTAGAAAATCGGTGTAGAAGTTAATGACAGTGCTAACGAGCTTGCTAACAGACTGTTGAAAAACAGTTAGCAAGATGTCGGTTCAGAGAAAGCTTTTGAATTCTACAAGTATAATATTGAAAACCCTGCGACACTAGCGCGTTAGTGGTTAGCTCACCAGCTAATAGCTCACCAATTAGCCACCACCATGATTGAACAGGCCTTGATGCAACCAGCAGAAAGATCTATTTCTTTATTCAAACTACTGAGTTTGAATGTGTGTGTGGGGGTATGAGTGTGAGACCTGGGGTCCTCAGGGTGGTTCTCCTCTGTGTTGTCAGTTACTTCAGCATCATCTGTCTGAGTTTGTTCAGGACCAGAGACTGTGGTACAACAACAAAAAAACATTATCCCACCACATCTATGAAGAATATCAGTATGAGAATGAACAAGATGCTTAGAGCTGCTGTGCCTTGGTATCGTCTCAAACCAAACTAGCATTTTGTAGTGTTATGAATTAGGTTTTGTTTTTTACATTACAATTATTTAAGCACACCAAAGAAATACAGATGACATCTGTGCCTTGACATTATGTGAGATATGTTCTCATTATAGTGGTGCGTTGTGGTGTTAGTTTGATAGGTACCCTTCTAATACCATTTGGAAGAATGCAGAAAAGGAACATATTCATTTAGTTCCCCTATATTGACATTTGTTTTTTACATTACTCAGCAGCTCAGCATATGTGCTGCTGTAGCAGCTTCTTGGTTTTCAGGGGTCATTGCTCTCGCGTCCACTCCGATCCCTCCTCTCATCCATTTGGAAAATGTTGATACTGACATCTGATCTGCTGTTTGTTTGTTTGTTCACTGGCTAGCTAACCACAGCCACTCTGCACTGCCCTCATACAGATTATAATAATACCGTCCCCACCTGACTTGGCAGGACATCCCCCAGGTAACACAGCTAGCTCTGTTAGCTCTGTCAGCACTGTCAGCATTGTTAGCACTGTTAGCTCTGTAGCTGTCAGCTGTGTCAGCATTGCTAGCCCTGTTAGCTCTGTTAGCACTGTTAGCTCTGCTTGCTCTGTTAACACTGTTAGCTCTGTCCGCATTGTTAGCACTGTAGCACTGTTAGCACTGTTAGCTCTGTCAGCACTGTTAGCTCTGCTAGCTCTGTTAACACTGTTAGCTTTGTCAGAATTGTTAGCACTATTAGCTATATCGGCTCTGTCAGCCCTGTTAGCACTGTCGGCTCTGGCAGCACTGTTAGCACTGTCGGCTCTGGCAGCACTGTCGGCTCTGGCAGCACTGTTAGCTCTGCTAGCTCTGTCAGCACTGTTGGCACTGTCGGCTCTGCTAGCACTGTTAGCTCTGTCAGCACTGTTCATTCGTGTGCAGGGAGTCGCTCCTCTATAGGTTTGAGCTGCGGTGCTTTTGGTCCAATCACAGGTCACATTGCAAACAGCTAGGTGAAGTAACGACGTACCATCCTGGGTTTGGTACAGTTCAGAGCCCTCTGCTGCTTCCCCAGAAGGGCCGGGGTCCACATCTGTCTCACCGCCCTGTGGACTGCACAACATAGAGAGCAGAAACACGGTATCAGGCTGAACAACAATGTGCTCCTTGTCTTGGGAAGGCCCCGGGCCCCGCAGCTGAGCGCTCACGACTGTCGTCAGTGCGGTAACACAGTGTTTACTATTCGTACAGGGGGGAGGGCAGGGGCTGATTATAATGCTCAACCTCCCCGTCGGCCGTAGCGTCCGAATTAAGTATATGGATATTTGCTGCGGGGCGAGGGCTTCAATTACCTTTTTTTTGGCCATACCTGTGTTTGCATCCCTGATATTGACCAAAATAATGTTTCCTATCATTTGTAAGCAAACCTACAACGTGTGTGTTACTGAATTCCAAATTCGATGTCAATTAACTCATATTTTCCTTTTCCTTTGATATCTAAACCTAATGTTTGCAGACATATTTCATTGCAAAAAACTGCAAAACATTTTTTTTTTTTAATTATACAAGGTGATTTTCTGGATTTGTTTTCCATTCCATTCCATTCAATTCCATCAATCACAGTTACAGACAAAATTACAGACTCCTACATGCTTTGTTGTGGGAAACCTGAAAAATTGGCAGTGTATCAAATACGTGTTCTCCCCACTGTATGTGAGGTTGTGATATATTAAAGACAGACTCTGCAATAATAATCTGTAGGGAGTGATGAGGCTTCATTAGTAGCAAATCAGAATGGAAGCGGATCAAAAAGAAAGCAGGAGTCTTATTTTAAGAAGAGGAACAATACTTGTGGCGTGCAGTTGTATTGACAGATGTTGCGGCATGCAGCTGCATTGACAGATGTTGCGGCATGCAGTTGCATTGACAGATGTTGCGGCGCGCAGCTGCATTGACAGATGTTGCGGCGCGCAGCTGCATTGACAGATGTTGCGGCGTGCAGCTGCATCGTGTGTGCCGGGGTCTCCCCCCGCCCTCGTACTGACCTCGGCGTGACGATGGCTTGAGGCGGGGCCACCACTTCAGGGGTCAGAGGCTCGTCGTCCAGCGTCTGGGATGTACAGAGCATGTCGTTGGCGCTGCTGGCGCCCGACACCGCCATCCCCTGAGCCTCACCGGGCCCCCCTTCCGGGGGGGAAGTGTCCGGTAATGTGGGAGAAGGGGTTTCTGGGTCTGTGGGCGTCTTGGCTGGGACGTCACCAGGCTGGGACAAAGCAGAGCTACAACGGGACAAGAGGGAATTATAGGCAATGTGACAACATGCATGGTTACGTCACACGGCAACTACTAACGGTCAGAAATACAGACGCATTCAAATCTAGCTCAAGAAGGAAAAAGGACCTCCTGGCTCTTAGTCAATTGTGTATTTGAAATTACAATAGGACCCATTTGCAGTGGCGGAATGTGTGATTGTAATTCTCCTCATGGCTTCTCGACCGCTGCATGTAACCACCGCGTGGCGTCACCCACCTGTACATGGATTCCCCGAGGGGCCGACTGGTGTCAAAGCAGTCAGGGAGGATGATGATGTAATCCTCCGAAGAGGTTGAGGAGGAGCGACTCCTGGTCCCCTCCCTCTTCTCCCCTCCCTCCTTCTCCGGCCTCTTCTCCATGCGGATGTTCTCCCTGTTCTCCTCACCTTTCACATCAACAGAGCTACTAAGTGTCATGAGGGACACAGGTCCGCCCGGGGACACACAATCCCGTCTCTCTCATGCTTAACACCTCAAAGACCCTTTGCACAACATGCTGCTAAGAGCTATGGAACTGGCTTAGAGGAGGTGACGCTGAGGCTCACATGGCTCAGAACACATGACGCGGCTCCTCAGCAGGCGGCAGAACTCACGTTTACACGTCGCCGCACAGCGTCCAGCGCTCACAGCCACTCGTCTTATGCGCCGTCTTATAACCCAACAATGAATAACCCCCAACAAACACTCTTAAACAGGGTAAAACACCACAACACAACCACTTGAGGTGACACATAAACAATTTGTAACTCTAATAATTGTACATTTATAAACATGACCGTGCTGAACTGCATGCTGGGTAAAGCTCACAACCAGAAGTAACTCTGCTGCTACATGGAAACACGGAAAAGAGCGAGACAGGAGGAGCAAGGAGAGACCAGAGATGCACCAACACAACACAACACAACACAACACAACTTGTGCCCAACAGAGGAGCCGAGTCTGTTTGGAGGGTTTTGAGTTTTGTAAATTCTGATGTAACTTAAGTTGGATCAAAAAACGATTTATTGCAAAGCCGGTCGAGTCTCTGGTGGCAACAGCAGCAGCCACAACAAGCTAACACGCTAACTAGCTAACAGGCTAACTATCTAACAGGCTAACTAGCTAACAAGCTAACAGGCTAACAGGCTAACAGGCTAACTCGCCAACAGCTGCGAGCGAGTTGGCCAGCGACCTTTTGGGGTCAATGAATGAATGTGTTTACATGAGAAAAGAATACGGTGTGGATGTGTGGCCACACCGTGCAGATCCAGCTGCTTCTGAGGATTTCTTTAGATGGACAAACAGACTCTACTCTGGACTATGTAGTCATTACTGATCCGATTGATTCTCAGCATAAACACATTGTTTACACCTGGTGTCATCACAACAGGCTCTAAGGTCAACAAAGTGCATTGCTGCCCCAAGTGTATTTGGTGTAAATCTTCCCAATTGCAGATAGAAATTGGGGCTCATTGATATTTGCAGGATTTCCAATAACTCAATAAAGTTGATTAAAAAGGATATAGGTATTACCAACCTGCGTTAAACGAACCAAATATTCCTCTTTAATCAATATTTGCTTTAAATCAGAAGCAATTGAGCAATTATCCGTGTTTGTACCCTCCCACAGCATGGGGAGCCGCTGGGGAGCCGCTGGGGGTTTCGTCACACATAAAGGGTTCCAATCAAGAACAGTCGTTCTGAACCAATGGCACATGGCGTCGGTCTGCTGCGGTCACCTGTGATGGAGGACGACCCCGGCCCCCCAATGAGCGGGGTTGGGGCCGAGCTGGGGCCGCGGCCTGAGGCCATATGGAGCGGAGCCGGCAGGGAGGCTTTTAGTGGGGGTGGGGGGAGAGCCTTCAGCGTAGACGGAGGTTTGTGGGGGCTTTTAGAGGTGCTGGGGCTGCTGTCTGGGCTCTCTTTGGATTTCATTGTTTTACTCTTCACACAGGAGGAGGAGGAAAAGGAGGAACCTCCCCGAGCAGCTGGACGCAACACTGGGGGCAAACAGGAAGTCCTCTGTTAAACACTGTCCAGTGGAATCACGCAGACTAAACAACTCCAATCTGGAATAATGCTGCTAAACAACAGAATCAAATACAGACATCACTCCCACACAGGACGCTTCAACGGGTTGCTTAACATTCACCTCTGGCCAACACACAAAAATACAGAAAACATCTGGAAGAAGTCAATCTGATGGGTGCTGAGTCCAGAGAGAGGCCTTTACCCACTTTGTAGCAAATTTCACAGTAGAACAAAGCCAAGGGCACTTTTAAAGACCGGTGACTTGTCATAGTACTCAACTACTACTTCATTGCTGACACACACAAAATGGTAAAACACTGGAAAATAACATAACAAGACGGTGCTAAATCACATCATATTTATGTGCAGCGCTATGGCTTAGGAAGCATCTCTACAGCCGCGTTTCCTGTTACACCAAGGAACGCCCTCTTACAGAACACCTTCACGCAGATCTCCAGGTGAGGCAGTGTGCGATTTATTTTTGTAAATGGATACTTAGGTTGCTGGATTATTTGGAGGAAAGTAACCACTATATGAGCTCTTTTCTCTTTGAGTGCAGGTAGTGTCGCTCTACATACATCAGACGCAACTTTAGTACGAGAAATTAGTCACATGTTGGCTGTTCCATTGGACTGTGACGTGTGGAGTGGAAACAAAACCAAGCTGCCACAGAAAAGGATTTACTGAGCTGTTGGTGACTCAAAATGTTCATGTTCTACCAGATAACAATCCATGCCTGTGAAATGTACATGCACATTTTTTCCACATGCGAAAATGATTCCTGTTTGGGGAAAGGGGAGGACGCTACATTCTCACAATGCCGGATTATTGAATTCTCTAATTATTATTACGTTACATTACAGGTCATTTAGCAGAAGCTTTTATCCAAAGCGACTTACATTACACTTTAAACTCAAGGCTTTTTCACATTTTTGCCCGGGGAGCAATTAGGGGTTAGGTGTCTTGCTCAGGGACACTTCGACATGGAACATGGGGCAGCCTGGAATCGAACCACCAACCTTGTGCTTCCCAGCACACCTTCTCTAACCCCCTAACCCCTGCGCCACGACGACCCCTAACTATTATTATTAACAAAGTAAAACAAGAGAAATCCGTTAACTCCAGAGCCAAACCCTGCTAACGGACGTTTACCTGGCCCTGGGAGGGTCCTTCTCAGAGGGGCGTGGTCGGGGGCCTCCTCCAGGGTCATTGAACGAATCACAGTCTCACAGACAAACTGAGTCCCGCTCATGTCATCCTCCCCTTCCTCCTGAGCTGGAACTCCGCCCCCCTCGGCTGCAGGTCCCGCCCCATGAGGAGCATCTGTGGACCAATGACAAGGTAGACGAACGTTACGTCTCTCTACGGATCAGGGGCCGGGTTCTCCGTCTGCATACATTTAGGTCCACTGCTGACAATTAGGAATAAAAGTCCACAGTGGTACGCAAGTAAAATCACAGGAAAACAAAGACGCACAATGAAACAAACAGACTCCACCCTGGACTATGTAGTCATTACTGATCAGATTGTTCCTCAGCATTACTGAACATCTATTGTTACATTGTTTATTCCTGGTGTCTCGCGCAATAGGCCCAAAGGTCAACAAAGTGCATCGCTGTCCCCAAGTGCATTTGGTCTTTGCAAGGCAAAATAATGTCTGGTAATATTTACCAAGAGAGTCACTTGAGCCGCGTTCTGCTGGCAGATGTGATCAATGTAGGATTGTTCTTGGTATTAGGGAGTGAGTAAAACGGTTTAATGAATACAAACATTTGTGTTCCTACTCAAACATTTCAAACTATCTGAGGCGGGCTTCAATAAATGAGGATCAGCTGTGGTCCGTAACTCCATCAGGAACCTTAAAACACTAACTCATTTACCCATGATGCTATTGTTGACTTCAGTTTCTTCCTGGATGAGAGCCAAAGAGGGACTGCCCTTGTCCTGCAGGAGGCCATCTTGATGCACAGGAGACATGCATGGAGTCATGTCTGGACGGAGACAAATGTCAGTCAGGTCTCTACGGTTACAAACACGTTACACTGAAACAGCTTCGTGATTACAAAATGAGCTCGCTCTCACTTTTGTTTTTCATACTACAATATCTGACGTCTGCATCCTTGATACAAAACCCTCCCTGAACCAACCAGCAGTAACTGGAGCTTACCAGCAGGGGTGTTATTTGGGACACTCTCCAACTCTTGGACGATGTTTATGTCCAACAGCTCAAAAGAAAGGAGATCCTGAGAGGTTTACACACATAGGATGGGGGTAAGGCTTATTACATTATAATGAATGCACAGCGTCACATTCCATTTTATAGCCAAGAGAAGGTAGACTTCATTATGGCTGTTATCTCAGACACTAGATCCGTCCCATCCATCCCTGGGGACCACTGCTTTAGCTGATTATACATCAGTACTTTTAATATTCCTAAAAACTTTCACTAAAGTCTTCCTATACTATTAACGGCAGTCAAGGGTCTGAATACTTCTCGTACCACTATGCATTTCAAATATTAGACAAGTAGAAGATTGTGTGGCTGTGACTATGAAGTTGATAAAGTGTAATTATGCAATTTCATGAACAAACAAATCATTTCATTTTCACAAGCCCGTGTCATTACCCGGTAGCTTAAGCGGCACATTGTGTTACCTGTGCGGTGAGCAGGTCTACGGAGGGGATGTAGTACTCCTCTTGGTCCACCGACATCAGTGGCTGCTCCCTTGCTGTACAGGCTTTTCCATCCTTTGCAGCTGGGTTCTTACCCTGAAGACAAGGTTGCATGTTGTAAAGAGTACACGCGTGAATGTCATCGGTGTGTCTTTATGATAATCCAGGTTCTATCTGCTGGTCCTCTCCTCTGTGGTACCCTTAATACTCCTGCGTTTGAAGAAGAATATGACGCCTGAAATGATGAATGCTAGAGAGGATCATCAGGTTAGGACGATGTTGGGACGTCCCCACGCAGGGACAAAAGGACTAGCTGTTTAGAGTCGTGAGCCTGGAAAAAGCCAGGCCTGAAGTAGCCTGAAGTCGGTGACAAAGCCAAAATCCCCCCCAATCCTGATTGTGAGCATTTCCAAACAAATGTCAGTCTGATTCGAGGGGGGGGGTGTCTAACCAAAACCTTGGACAATTGCGTACTGGACCATTCCCTAGATCTTCAAGCTGCAGAGGGGAGGCCCTCATTTTCTACATAAACAGATTAAAGGATTCCAGCAACAAGCACAACTGGAGGAAACGCATTGAATTCTATCAATTCACAGTAAGGCTTGGCTGTCTTGGAGGGGTTAGCTTAGCATGTGTTTTATAACTTTGCTTTGTCTTGGGTTTAATGACAGGAATGAGAAATCAGGAAACATTTATTGCCATAATATGTCAGACATACAAGAAATTGGACTTGGCGGATTATATTGATGAGATGGTTGAGATGGGCGATGAAATAGTTGATGAGTTGGGAGAGCGAGATGGGCGATGAGATGGAGAGCGAGATGGGCGATGAGATGGGAGAGGATGATGGGCGATGAGATGGTTGATGAGATGGGAGAGGACGATGGGCAATGAGATGGTTGATGGGCGATGAGATGGGAGAGGGAGATGGGCGATGAGATGGTTGAGGACGATGGGCGATGAGATGGGAGAGGGAGATAGGCGATGAGATGGTTGAGGACGATGGGCGATGAGATGGGAGAGGGAGATAGGCGATGAGATGGTGGATGAGATGGGAGAGGACGATGGGCGATGAGATGGGAGAGGACGATGGGCGAGGGAGATGGGCGATGAGATGGTTGATGAGATGGGAGAGGGCGATGGGCGAGGACGATGGGCGATGAGATGGTTGAGGACGATGGGCGATGAGATGGGAGAGGGAGATGGGCGATGAGATGGTTGAGAACGATGGGCGATGAGATGGGAGAGGGAGATGGGCGATGAGATGGTTGATGAGATGGGAGAGGACAATGGGCGATGAGATGGGAGAGGACGATGGGCGAGGGAGATGGGCGATGAGATGGTTGATGAGATGGGAGAGGGCGATGGGCGATGAGATGGGAGAGGGAGATGGGCGATGAGATGGGAGAGGACGATGGGCGATGAGATGGTTGATGAGTTGGGAGAGCGAGATGGGCGATGAGATGGTTGATGAGATGGGAGAGGGAGATGGGCGATGAGATGGTTGATGAGTTGGGAGAGCGAGATGGGCGATGAGATGGGAGAGGGAGATGGGCGATGAGATGGTTGATGAGATGGGAGAGGGCGATGGGCCATGAGATCGGAGAGGGAGATGGGCGATGAGATGGGAGAGGACGATGGGCGATGAGATGGTTGATGAGATGGGAGAGGGAGATGGGCGATGAGATGGTTGATGAGATGGGCGATGAGATGGTTGATGAGAGCGAGATGGGCGATGAGATGGTTGAGATGGGCGATGAAATAGTTGATGAGTTGGGAGAGCGAGATGGGCGATGAGATGGTTGATCAGATGGGAGAGGGAGATGACGATGGGTGAGGACAACGGGTCCCAGCTCTGAGGCGGGGCCGTATGGATTTGAATAACACAATTATTCATATCAACGCATTTAGTCAAGAGATTCCCGTTTCCGTTCATCCACACATTTACTCTACCTGCGGCGTGACACACGGAGACACCAGTATCCCATCAGCCATCATGGGTGCTGGGGCCAGAGGATCCACCATGATGCTGCACCAGACCCGGGGTCCAAACTGCTCTCCAGCGTGGGCCAGACGCCAGTGGGAGGTGTAAGAGCCCTCTACAGCAGGAGCACACAGCGCCACACTCACTATACCCACCTGGACAAAAATATATACATAGATATATATACATATTAGATTTCATCAACATCTAGAGAACTAATTGATAAACTGCACCCAGAGCTGTATGGTACTGAACATATTGACTAGATTCAGTGGTACAGAGAGTCAACAAGAAGGATGGCAGTACAGGTAACTTTTACAGGTACGCTTCCTCTCACCTGTCCTGGCTGGAGGAAGGGAACAGACACTTCTCTCCAACGGTCCCCAGAGCCTACAGCCAGGTTTCCCCACATGAACTTCAGCTGCAGGTAGCAAGACAAGGCAAAATGTGCTGTGCAATAGGTCCAATTATTGTTGTCACTCATAGGGACTAACTCACAGATAATCATCAACAACGTAAAATACATATTTTAAACACATCATGAGCCATATCCCTCAACTTTCATTGGTGTTTTCCCTCCATGTTTGTAGCAGAAACCTTCCTTAAGCACAATGCACCTGACTGTTAGCGCCTTGCAAATCCTTAGTACGACTTTACAGCAACGTTTACGACAGTTAAAGCCAGCTAACTATTGCTAACTTAAGTAGCATTCAGCTTGGCCTTGCGTAGCTCAGACTATTTTTGAGTTCAAAAGTTGATTTGCATTCCCAAAAAGCTGGCAGACTTACATATGATAGTAACCGAGCCCATTCATTGTCCCCAGATGAAATGCCCTTTCTATTTGAGACAGTCTACCCTTTGTTCAATGCCACAGAATGTGCCCTAACCAGCAGAACAGCACCTTAGTGTCGGTGCTCCAGCAGATGGTTCCAGTGTTCCTCATCTTCCAGTACTTGATAAACTTGGTCCCAGGACGCAGTCGTGTTCCATCAGGAAGGTTCTCGTCCAAAAAAGCTGCTGTCATGGCTGGAACCACCAGGGGACAGGGACGCTTTGGACGCCTTGGCAGGATAGAAACACCTTTAGTCCTGCATGGAGTTCCTCTTTAAACCGCCTTCACACCCATGTCAGTACCACCACCACGTATTACATTTAGCTAGTTATTCAAACGATTAGCACCATTTATTATACCGTTTAAGCTAACTATCTTTAGCATTAATCCATTTCTTTCAGTTATCTACTTCAACCATTTATCCATTCATGGTTTTCTATTTGGTGCTGGCTTGCTCAGTTACCATGGTAACTAAAGCGCAGGGTCAGTCACCATGGTAACTAAAGCGCAGGGTCAGTCACCATGGTAACTAAAGCTCAGGGTCAGTGTCCATAGTAACTAAAGCTCAGGGTCAGTGTCCATGGTAACTAAAGCTCAGGGTCAGTCACCATGGTAACTAAAGCTCAGGGTCAGTCACCATGGTAACTAAAGCTCAGGGTCAGTCACCATGGTAACTGAGCCTGTGAACCAAACCTGGTCCGGAGCAATAAACCTGGAGTTCCTTTCACAGTCTCCTCCCTCTGACAGCAGCCCAGCCAATCACACAGCACACTTTCATTTCCTCATTCATTCATGGCACGTCCAGAAAAGGTTAAATGAAGAAGCGGTTTTACTTCGCAGGGTGTTAAACATGTCGGGAGAGATTTTTGAGGCCTCGATTAGATATATTGTTATTTCCAGATAACTACTTGTTTGAACGGTATCGTTTTCCTTCGCAGTCCATCAAATATGTACATGACCTCACCCGTCCTCAAATAATTAATGTCTCCCATTGTGGACATGCTCGCACATCCAAGTATTCTTCCTGTAGTATTGTGTTTTTCCGGTGTTTCCTTTCCAACATTAGAATAGTAAAGCTGCTGTATGCAGAGCCGTGAGAAACGTGTGCGTCGCTCTGAAACGTCTTTGTTCCCTGGACACAAACCAGTGAAGCCATTAAAGAGGAGCTCCACAGGACGCACCTGAATAAATATAATATAGGGTCAATACCATTGTGCCAGTTTTTACCAGCGATATTATTCTTGTGATTAAATATGAGCATGGGTGTGTATTTCAAGCCTGTGTGTAGTCCATTCTAACAAACAGTAAAAAATGTAATTTTCCCCACTGGCAATTAGTAAAACGTATGGATTCTCATTAGTGTGTACATTGAATATTAACTGACAACACTACATTGGAACTTACGCCGTTTCTGTCTTTTGCTGCAGTAGCGGTGCTGCTTTTCTGTCTAATTACGGGTTCATACTCGTACGCTTGCATTAATATTTGCAGCTCAATAGGGGTGAATATATTGTTTGTGGTGGTTGCCATGGTGAATCGTGGTATCGTGCTCCATTCATGCTGCCTTCATACTGTGGTGCTGCACGCGCTCAACTCTGAGTCAACCTACTCAGAGATGATTGAACCAACCCTGAACAGCTGTTCTGAAACCCAAAACTCAGAGTTTAGGGTTTGACTCAGAGTCTGTTAAACCTCCTACTTGAAACGGACCCCAGAACCGCAGAGAGTCTTTACTTTAACTAAAGACACACCTCTTCAGGCTAAAAAACACAAAACCAATTGTAGCACTTAAATTGTACTTATAATGGCTCTTATCCACAGCAAGTTGTAAAGCGGCTTATTTGATGAAATCGCACTTTCTTGTTTCTTGTTCTTCTGAGTTTGTGTCCTTATGGTTGAAATGCACTCATTGTAAGTCGCTTTGGATAAAAGCGTCAGCTAAATGACATGTGACGTAACGTAAATTGTCATTTCTATTATTTCAAGTCTCTTGATCTACTTCACCATCCTCAGTGATTACAAATAAGAATGCACATTTTAGTGGCTGTGTGTTATCTTTAGGATCCTACTCAGGGCTGTTGTGCTGGGTGGCTCGAGGCTGCAGAAGGACAGGGGAGGAGCTCCCGTCTCTGTGGGAGGAGCTCCACTGTATGCCCCGCCTCTCCATTCTCAGCTGCTTTCGGATCTCCTTCACCTCGGCTTTTAGCAGACGCTTCTCTGCTTTCAGACGCTGCTTCTCCGCCTTTCGGAAGCTGCGGTCCCCTCGCCGGTAGAACCTGAGAAGGGACAGTCGGGTTTGAGCCGCTGGGCCTCATGGACCAATGTGCCATGAGCACAACCTCCTCAGACAAGAGTCCCATAGGGATTCAACACAGCTGCTATCGGTGCTTTCAGCATGGTAAAGGGACTGTACTTCTGTTCCTCTTTTATAGTCCTCTCAAAACTCTTCAACATACAACAAGACATACTTGGTCACAATAGTGTAAGTTCCCTGTTTCACGGCGAGTAAACGTACTGTAAATATAGCAGACTTTTCCGGCTGTTCCGTCAAGTCGATTTCTTTGCTGCTGTGTGTATCTACTGATAACAACAAGGCCCCGTGGGTGCCTCATGAAACCCGCCTCCCCACCTCCAAATCAGCCCTATACGCTGGTGAGCATACTTGTCTAAAGTGGATTGTAGTATTTATTTGGATACTTTTTAATCCCCTTAGCATGCAGGCACCTTCATCCCAGTTTACCTCTTGATACTTCATCTGCAGCGCAGTACGGATGTCACTTCATGTTTCATTCAACTTGTCCGATTACAATTCCTTTACATATACAAGAGGTTTATTTACTGGCATATTTGTTATCGTAGAACAACGTGTTCAAACGTCACGTGTCAACCAAAGGCACTTCTTCAGGCATTTACCCTAAATGACGGGCGAGCGGTACCTGCTGTGGTCCGGGGCGGGGGATCCGTGCTCCGGGATGGACAGAGGCGTCCTGGCTCTCACCAGGTTGTGACTGGGATCATGAGAGAAGCTGCAGGGCTCGCACAGCGTGCAGGAGGTGCACACACTAACAGAGACCAGGAGAGGGAGAGAATTACATCTTCTGCACTATAAATGTCTAAAAGTAAAACGTTTACACACACATTCAAGTTTTCAGAGCATCTTTTGACCAATCAATGCAAACGGAAGGAGCCGAATAGCATCTGATGTGCTGATTCACAACATTCATCCCGTTGAGACAAACAAAGTAAAGTGACGGACTTGATAGCACCTACCTGCACTGGTAGCCTCCTCCTGTGGTCTGCCCCCGGCAGGAGGAGCAGGGAGGTGTGGAGGGCGATGGAGCTCCGGGCAGAGTGGAGGAGGCGACCTCTGGGACCTGTTGGACCTCCGTTCCTCCACCTGCTTCCGCTCTACCTCCCCCACCTCCTGCTCCTCCTCCACCCAGGGGCTTGTGAATGCAGCACTGTCCAGAGAACTCCCGGCAGATCTTCTCCACCGCCTCACGGACGACCTGGTCCTTAAACTGGAGGGGCAAGGCGCCGTTTATGCAGGTTTCTCTTCAAATTGGCTCGTGTGTCGTCAGGGAGTTCTTACCTTCTCCATGTAGGAGGTGAACCAGGCTGGAGGAGTCTTGTCTTCTTCTTTGGTCCCCTTCATCTCTTTCAACATCACCTGACCGACACCAGTCACCATATTAGACGAAACATTACTACTACAGTACTAACATCCTTCTTCTCATATTTTGAACACAATTTATTTTGTGGTTTACTTGTGTTACTGCTTTGGTGATAAAGGTTAAGGAATTAAAGCAAAGCTACCTGCCTACTTTGGACCAATTACCACCAAGGTAACACTTCCACGTTATTGGTGAGCAATGCTTTCCATTGTGTGGCTTATTGTGATGCTCCACACTGTTGTGTGAGTTCATTCCCCTCAATGAATCCAACCCAAGTCCAAACTGACTAAAAGGTCATCTAATCCGTATTCAAGACTTGTTTCATCAACTACAAATCTTGAAAGAGTTCAATCAAAGGCAAAGTAAGAAGGAGGCATTTCTGCCACAGGTTGTACTGGGTTCTACTGGCAGCTGCTCTCTCATATTTTGTAAGCACCTTATACACAGGTGAGGTTTGCTAAATAAAGAACTCCTGTTTAAAGCCATGCAGTCCAGCAGCAGCAGACTAATCCACCAAGAGGACCATGGAGCTGAATCCACGGCACTCAACAAACGCCACATGAAGTCATCACAGAGGAGCATTTACTGTATCAGACTGCAGTAGTTTCAGATGGCCTACCCGATAACCTGACCCCCCTGAGAGCACAAGCAAACACTATTAAGCAAAGCTACCAGCGATTAACCCGGAGAAACACTGAAGACAAGTGAGGAGAAGCATGATTTCCTTCAGGTCGCTTCTGACCCGTGGCAGCGGATGCCGGCGGATGCTAGCTGATGCCGGCGGATGCCAGCGGATGCTAGCTGATGCCGGCGGATGCCAGCGGATGCTAGCTGATGCCGGCGGATGCTAGCTGATGCCGGCGGATGCCAGCGGATGCTAGCTGATGCCGGCGGATGCCAGCGGATGCTAGCTGATGCTAAGAGAGAAACTGAGGCGGTGCGTGGCGGGTCTTACCATGCCTTGTTCTGGCACTGCAGCCTGGACTTTGCGGCTGACTACCTGGGCCAGAGCGGGACAGTGCTGCGGGGGGCGGAAGCCCTTCTTCGGCTCCGTGCCGCTGGTCTTGGAGGTGGGGCCCCTCGCCGGCTGGCCCCGAGTCTCGTACACGTTCATGTGGAGGCGATTTCCCTGCCTCACTGCACTCTGTCCAATCAGTGAATGCGTTAATGTCAGCGGCTTTTTCTTTGAGGAATACTCCTGTTACTATTTAAATTGTTACATAGAGTTAGCTTTTTGGATTGTTTGCCTTGTGAGAAGGAAAGAAAGGACTAATTCACCTAAACAAAGTTTCATGTTGGGAAAAGGACCTCTTGAACTGATAAACACATGATCCGGGTATCAGATGTTTGTCATATAACTCAAAGGCCTTTGAATGGGATTGAATCATGTCTTGTATATGTCTTAACTCATTTCATAAATGTCCTGTTCAATGGTTTCACACCAGTGTCGAGTAAAATGAACATCTAACATTTGAGCATTGCAAATACAGTTTTCTTTTTTACTAGTGGAATGAGCTGAAATGTTTCCCTTGTGTTCATATCTACTGACCTTCAATGCCTCCTCGTAGTCCACTGGAAGAGGAGCAGAAATATTCATGAACGTGAAACCTCATGGGTTCATCAGCATACTGTGTGGGTCATCTTACCTTGGCTGTTAATGGACACCTAGAAGAAACAAGGGAAGGTTCCGTCTGTCAATGTGTTTACAACTTGTTGTTTGGTTTTGTGATACAGTTCCATGAATTAAAGCCATTAAACTGCAGCTTTATTCACTCATCAGTTGTATCAGATTAAGACGGAGACATCTCAATAAGCTGGACGGTAGAAGCGAGCTCTGCGTGACAGAACCTGGTATTGCTCTATGTATAGTTTCACCACGTTGCTATCATTGCCTATAATGGATTCAATTGAAGAATGTATCTATTTATCCATTTGTGTCATTTGTTATGTCACATGACTCAGATTATAAGAGTCCTTTAAGCACGACGATGCTGCATACCTTCAATTGACACACTTCTATTTATTCCTAATATTTAATTACTCAAAGATAATGGATTTAATTCCTTTACAACAGCAGTAAACGAGACACAGTGAGCTACAACAGCTTCTCACCTCCTCGTTCTCCTCATCGAAATAGGTCAGCTGAAGACTGCACAGGCCAAACGAACGCTTCACCTGCGCAGAAACATGAACAGAGACCCGGTGAGGACCGACAGCACGAGACATGACGTTAAATGGCGTAGGATGAACCCAACGCGAGCTCTGTGTGCGTGCGTGCGTGCGTGCGTGCGTGTGTCTCGATGTGCCTCGTACAGGGAAAACGTCAAAATCGGGGTGTGACTCAACCAATGGATGACAAGCACAGAGCCCACGCTCCACTGAGTGGAGAGCCTCGGCTCCGTTACCATCCACGTCCATGTGACTCCGGCCAACGCACATGACCCCAAACAAGGGCTTGGGCGTGGATGGCTGAGTGACGTCATTGTGGTGGAGAGGGAGCGCTGGCAGGTGGAGGCGTGATGGGCCTCAGGTGGAGGCGTGATGGGCCTCTGGTGGAGGCGTAGGTTGAGGCGTAACGGGCCTCAGGTGGAGGCATAGGTGGAGGCATAGGTGGAGGCGTGATGGGCCTCAGGTGGAGGCGTGATGGGCCTCTGGTGGAGGCGTAGGTGGAAGCGTAACGGGCCTCCGGTGGAGGCGTAATGGGCATCAGGTGGAGGCATAGGTGGAGGCGTGATGGGCCTCCGGTGGAGGCGTAATGGGCCTCAGGTGGAGGCATAGGTGGAGGCGTAATGGGCCTCAGGTGGAGGTGTAATGGGCCTCAGGTGGAGGCATAGGTGGAGGCGTAACGGGCCTCAGGTGGAGGCGTAACAGGCCTCCGGTGGAGGCGTAATGGGCCTCAGGTGGAGGCGTGGATGGAGGCGTGATGGGCCTCAGGTGGAGGCGTGATGGGCCTCTGGTGGAGGCGTAGGTGGAAGCGTAACGGGCCTCCGGTGGAGGCGTAATGGGCATCAGGTGGAGGCATAGGTGGAGGCGTAATGGGCCTCAGGTGGAGGTGTAATGGGCCTCAGGTGGAGGCATAGGTGGAGGCGTAACAGAGGCGTAGTGGGCCTCAGGTGGAGGCGTGGGTGGAGGCGATGGGCCTCAGGTGGAGGCGTGGGTGGAGGCGATGGGCCTCAGGTGGAGGCGTAATGGGCCTCAGGTGGAGGCATAGGTGGAGGCTTGATGGGCCTCAGGTGGAGGCATAGGTGGAGGCGTAACGGGCCTCCGGTGGAGGCGTAATGGGCCTCAGGTGGAGGTATAGGTGGAGGCGTGATGGGCCTCAGGTGGAGGCATAGGTGGAGGCGTGATGGGCCTCCGGTGGAGGTGTAATGGGCCTCAGGTGGAGGTGTAATGGGCCTCAGGTGGAGGCGTAATGGGCCTCAGGTGGAGGTATAGGTGGAGGCGTGATGGGCCTCAGGTGGAGGCATAGGTGGAGGCGTGATGGGCCTCCGGTGGAGGTGTAATGGGCCTCAGGTGGAGGCGTGATGGGCCTCAGGTGGAGGTGTAATGGGCCTCAGGTGGAGGCATAGGTGGAGGCGTGATGGGCCTCAGGTGGAGGCGTGGGTGGAGGCGTGATGGGCCTCCGGTGGAGGCGTGATGGGCCTCCGGTGGAGGCGTAATGGGCCTCAGGTGGAGGCGTAGGTGGAGGCGTAGGTGGAGGCGTAATGGGCCTCAGGTGGAGGCGTAATGGGCCTCAGGTGGAGGCATAGGTGGAGGCGTGATGGGCATCCGGTGGAGGTGTAATGGGCCTCAGGTGGAGGTGTAATGGGCCTCAGGTGGAGGCGTAATGGGCCTCAGGTGGAGGTATAGGTGGAGGCGTGATGGGCCTCAGGTGGAGGCATAGGTGGAGGCGTGATGGGCCTCCGGTGGAGGTGTAATGGGCCTCAGGTGGAGGCGTGATGGGCCTCAGGTGGAGGTGTAATGGGCCTCAGGTGGAGGCGTAGGTGGAGGCGTGATGAGCCTCCGGTGGAGGCGTAATGGGCCTCAGGTGGAGGCGTAGGTGGAGGCGTAATGGGCCTCCGGTGGAGGCGTAATGGGCCTCAGGTGGAGGCATAGGTGGAGGCGTGATGGGCCTCAGGTGGAGGCATAGGTGGAGGCGTGATGGGCCTCCGGTGGAGGTGTAATGGGCCTCAGGTGGAGGCATAGGTGGAGGCGTGGGTGGAGGCGTGATAGGCCTCAGGTGGAGGCGTGATGGGCCTCAGGTGGAGGCGTAGGTGGAAGCGTGATGAGCCTCCGGTGGAGGCGTAATGGGCCTCAGGTGGAGGCGTAGGTGGAGGCGTGATGGGCCTCAGGTGGAGGCATAATAGCCTCCGGTGGAGGCGTTGGTGGAGGCGTAATGGCCTCCGGTGCAGAGAATGAGGGATCGTGTTTCTCTCCCTGTATTCCAGGAGTGACGATCCGGCGAGGGACCAGACGAGGAGGCTGGACGCCGGCAGCTCACTCTGCGTACGAAATAAAGTTTGTCCCCGAAACGATCTGATGTGTGCTCCTCATTCGGGGACCCCCAAGGATCACCACGTTACATGTTAAAGCCCTGTGAGCGTTTAGGAATCACACCGAGCTACGTCCTTATGATGCCCTGTTAGCGACGTCTGCAGCAGCTACAAAGAAGCTTCCTAGATGCCTTCATGTGTTGTTACGCTCGTTATTTATCGTGAACGGCCAATGATACGTCACTATTTAAATATCGTCCAGTGGTTCCTGAGCTAAAGGAGCAAAGTAGGGAAGCATTGAAGCGCCTTCCCTTAGTGTTAGAGAATGTAAACAGCTCTTATCACGGCGCCTCTTACACTAGTTCTTCATCTCACTCAGTGAGGAACCGAAGCCTAGTTTATGCTTCTGCGTTCTCAGAGAGACCCGCCCCTGCGTGTCCCTTGCGTGTCTTTTCACACCTCCTTGCGTCCGTCGACCCATTCTTCTAGACTAGCGTCTAAAGCGACGCAGCACACCAGGCTGTGATTGGTCCGCTAACTACGTCCTTTAGAGTCTCACGTCTCCGTTTTCACAGCACAATACGGCCGTTATTAAAAGAAAGAATGTTTACGAGAGAACGGATCAGATTGAAGAGCTTTTGTGGGAAGAAATGCGTAAATATGAGCACTTGTACAAGCCGTCATTGGCGGACTATGAGGACGCCGGATGGCCTCTGATTCATGGAGGGAGATCTCCACAAATGAGGGAACAAAGTCTCGACTGAAAGGAGGCTCATCCGGAGTAATTCTGTTGTGAGGAAGATCAGCTGTTTTCTGATGTCCAGGAGAAGCAGACAGTTTACGACAGACAACATATTTACTCAGAACCCTTCTGATGGCAACACCGGCCCCAGGAATCCAATACTTCTGACGCAAGTGAGAAAGCATGTGGTTTCGTCCACCATGGCCTGTTTCTTGATGTACATGAGCAAGGATAAGATTAGAAACGTGTTGATCTTTAGCCAGTATAACTGGATGTTTCGCTTCAAGTGGCATTGCTGCTCTACTGAGCGTCCTCCAACCCTAATGAGATCACCATCCAGGATCGGGTTGAGCTTGTAAAGATGACTTGTCCTTCTTACACACTCTCCTTTCTTCAAATGGGACAGTTCCTCCAAAAACTTCACCCTTTGACAGAAACGGACAATATTTAACTCTGCCATGACCATATCCTCCACAGATAAAACCTCTTTTGGTACTTGAGACTTAATACCTTCCATCTGAACCTGTATCTTTTTCTCCAGCTGATCAATACTTAGATCTGTCTTAGAAAGGTCTTCTCTCACCAGCTTTTGATGTTGCACCAAGGATAGGAGCAAGGTCTTAAACCTAAGAAGCCAACCAACAGCCCTCTTAAGACGGAACCAGGAGGAAAAGTAAAAAATAAGCTTCTGCACAGGACTAACCTGCTCAACTTGAGCAGCGTTGACCACCACGGCCTTGACCTCTGGGTCTCCAAAGAGAGCGCTTTCCAAGGTCTCAGGATTTTTGGGCCACCTGTACTCGGGCTCACGAAGAAAGTCAGGACCACAGAGCCATGCATCAGTCTTTAGAAATGACTGAACACTCATACCTCTGGAGGCTAGATCCGCAGGGTTGCTTGCTGTATTCACGTACCTCCACTGTGATGCGTTAGATGTTTTCAATATTTCAGACACTCTGTTTGCTATGAAGATCTTAAACCTAGGAGGTCTCATTTTTTATGTATTTCAAAACAGAAGTGCTGTCGGTCCAAAAGGCCGACTCTTCAAGGTCCATATGCAGCTCTTTCCTCCACAAGTTGTCCATCCTGCTAGCGACCACCACGGCAGTCAGCTCCATACGGGGAATGGTGACAAGTTTCAAAGGAGCTACTCGTGCCTTTCCCATTACAAACGCACGGTGAGTTTGCCCGCTATCGTCATGGAGTAACAGGTAAGTCACAGTGCCAAACCCTTCCTCACTTGCATCTGCAAAGTGGTGAAGCTGAGCAGAGGCAAGACGACCACAGTCCACTGGTTTTAAATACCTACTGACCTCCTAATTTTCAAGATCATGAAGGTCTTTCAGCCAGGCCGTCCATTCTCCTACAACAGAAGAGGGCAAAGGATCATCCCATCCCAGACGTCTCCTACAAAGGTCTTGGAGGATTTTCTTGGCAGACAAAACAACAGGTGCCAAGAAACCAAGAGGGTCGTAAATCGAACTAGTCACGGATAAGATTCCTCTTCTTGTGAGTGGGTGGGGCTTAAGTGTAATTTTAAACTTGAATGAGTCAGATTAGACGCACCACTGAACACCCAAGGCACGCTCTACAGGCAAAGCATCACTGTCCAAATCCAGATCTTTTACCTCTTTGGCCCACTCCTCTTGAGGGATAGTAGCGAGGACATTGCGTTTGTTACTAATCCATTTCGTGAGCTTAAAACCCCCTTTAGCACACAAGGCACAGAGCTCTCGACATAAGGATACTGCTTCCTTTTCAGAGCCAACCGACACCAAACAATGATCGACGTAGAAATGGTGCAGTACAGTGTTAACTGCCACAGGACTGAAGCGCTTTTGATTGTCTTCAGCACATTTCCTCAAGGCAAAACAGGCACAGCTAGGGGAGGAAGTAGCACCGAATAGATGCACCATCATTCTGTACTCCACTGGCTCCTGAGTGCAATCTCCATCTGGCCA